ACGTGGTTAGAGAGGTACTTTGGGTAGCGGATCATCTCCAACAATCGGATGGAGTCTACCTCCTCAAGTCTATCTCATGGGACTTTTCGCGCATCACGGATCAAGCGCTCAAAGTATATTGTGACGCCTCAGGAACTGGAATGGGGTTCTGGTATCCATCTTTGAACCTCAGCTTCCAGTCTTCACTCCCATCGCAAGCTCCTGTTCGTGACATATACTTCTTTGAAGCTCTCTGTATCTGTTCGGCTATTCAAGACACCGCCTCTTGCCTACCTTCAGGAGGAAGATTGGCTGTCTTTACTGACAGCCTGGATTCCATCGCAATGTTCAATTCATTGAAGGCTTCACCGGGATTCAATTCGCTCCTCATTGTCTCAATTGACGTTGTTATCACAGCCTCAATTGACTTTCGCGTGTTTCACATTTCAGGAGAGCATAACATCATTGCAGATCATCTTTCGCGTAGCAGGTTCCGGGAGGCCCTGAAGTGTAATTCTCACCTTCGAATCTTCCCTTTTGAACCCCCTCGGAATGCGCTGGGGGGAGGGAAAAAATGATGTCACTTTCGCGCAATGCCAGGCAACCCGTTAGGGAAGCCTGGTCTCTCGAATGACTCAATCATGAGCGTTCGATCAATCTCAGAATGACCCTCGAATGCTCCACCAATCGCACATACTCTTCTGCCCTTAACTCTTATGTCACTTTTTGTGACCTACATCAATTCTCGGTTGAACCTACACCTGACACTCTCTCCTACTTTGTCTCTTACATGTCGGCTCATATCAGCCCATGCTCGGTCGATAACTATTTGTCGGGAATTTGTAGTCAACTCGAGGAGTTCTATCCAGCCATTCGCTCAATTCGTCACTTGCGTCTGATTTCGCGAACTCTCAAGGGAGCAAAACGACGATATGGGGTTCCAGTTAAATGAAAACTCCCACTCACGCGCACAAACTTGCAGCAAGTTCACAGCGACCTACCTCATCCCTTCTCTCATGACGACAAGTTGTTCCTCGCTCAACTATTTGATGGCTTCTATGCGCTCCTTTGTCTTGGGGAATTAGTCTGGCCCGACGACAAAAAATTGCAGAATAGGAGAAAATTGACGCAGCGCACCTCGGTTGTATTAGAAGACCATCATCACTCCTTCATTCTCCCGTCCTACAAAATGGATACACAGTTTGAGGGAGCGACTGTCGTTGTTCATCACACTGATTCCTTGCTGGACCCTCATCAGGTCTTCAAGGAGTACTTAAAATCGCGCGACTCATCATTTCCCTTTCATTCAACTCTATGGCTTCGAGCGGATGGTTCGGTACCGACTCGCAGTTGGTTCATTCGGAAGTTGCGTCAATTCTTCCCTACAACTATCGCGGGGCATTCGATGAGAGCCGGGGGAGCTACTTCACTTGCAGCCAGTGGAGTTCCAGCGTCCCATATTCAAGCCATCGGCCGCTGGTCCTCAGAGTCCTTTCGGATATATATCCGAAAAAATCCTACTCTTCTTCACAGTCTTATCTTTAATGGTCGGTCCGCACGCGATGGACGTGATCCGTTCGCGTCCATCCCTTAATTTTTATTCAGAACTTGCTCCGTTTTTATGTGCGTGTTTCCCATCATTTACACTCAAAACTTTGCCTTTTTACTTATCTACCCAACTACACCTACTTCCAGTCACTTCCCGTCTACATCACTTCCCCATTAATTTCCTACCCTCCCACCCAAAAGTAACACCTTATAGCACTCTCCACGCACAAATTCTGCACGTCTGAGATTCAAGTTCTCGTTTTCTCTCATATTCCGAGTTTCCCGTCGGTTGCTGCTTTGTACTTATTTACGTTGCACAATTTTTCATAGGGTCCTTCGCTGCCCTCGCACGAAGGGCCCTCTTGCTGGCTAATCCTCGCCGCCTGCGCTTCCGCGGGGCTAAGTGAGACCAATTATACTAGATTGAAACTTCCAGTGTGGACGTAAAGGCGTTGCTCGCTATGCTGCTGAGATGCCCTACTTTAGGCGAAAACAGTTCAGCCAAAATGCAGGATAATCTCTGCAAACTCGAGAAGAACTGTGAACGTCACGAGAAGTTGATGTGGCAAGTACTCAAAGGGAAATGTGCGGCATGATGGGGTCGTATGGCACGAATGAATCCCCGGTCCAGCGAGGAATGTGCAGCGTGATTGTTAATTAGGACAACAAAAAAATGTCATCTTTATAAATTTCGCTCGATCCTCCATCTCACCGACCATACCGTCCGCCCTGTTGTGAAAGATGGAGGAGAGCCTGCATGAGGAGCTTCTCCAGCGCGCAATCGGTTGTGTGTGGACGAGCTGTGGGGGAGGGTGACAGCACGGGTGTGATTGTAGTAGGAAATAGCATTTCTTCTGCAAAAACATGAATCAGCCTCAGTTACGAGTCTCGACCGCGCCTGTAACCTCAGTGCTTAGCATCGAATCAGAAATGTTTCACATGCACCGAGCCCCAGCGAGTCAGATCAACCGTCCTGCAGCGCGCACGGGGAGGTTAGACGCCTTCTCTGTGCTTCCGTTCCCTGTTCCCGAGTTTCCCTTCCTTCCCGAACACCGGGACTTACTGGCAAGCAAATACGGTGGCTCCATTGGTCTCTTATGTCACTCCTGTTGGGGTATATAGTGGCAGTCCCAGATCTGATATGGGATGAGTATTGCACCGAACAATTGTGTAGGTCCAGCGTTTACGCGAAATTCACCCTCTTGATTCTTGCAATTGTGGGGTAAATAGGTTCCCTACAGTTGTATGGCTTCCTTCCTTCCCTTCCACAAACTCCATCATGTTTACTTCCCGCTCCATCATCTTTGCGCTGCTCTGTTTAAATAAGTTGCAGTGCGTGTCCTGAGCACTGAACAGCATATCGTCGTTTGTATCCTGCTTCACAGCTGCTCAGTGGGTTGGGATGCTGCAACTGGCCGAGGCAAGACCAAGACTATTTGCCAATTCTCGTAACGGATGGTGTTTAAGTACTGGCGCATACCTGACTGTCTGCAAACGAACATTGCTCCTCATGTTGGGTGTCTCGTTTCCCCACCTCTTCACATCACGTTCAGCAGTGGGCCTTCACAGTTGCTGTACGCGGACAATACTGAGACCCAGATATAAACTGGCCGTTGTCCTGATACCATCGCTAGCATGTTAACCGAGAACAATGGGCTGCACAATATCCAGACAGTACTTACAGTGTCATACTGACATTGTAGTAATGAGCCGCCGCCATTCTGCCCATATTGATAGTAACTGCGGGCCTATCAGTTACTTCGTTCAATGAAGATGTGTGGGTGCGACCACGTGCAAAATGTGGCCGAGTCGTCTGGGAAGGTTTTGTTTAGTTTGGAGCCATTCAGTGTGGCTGGGCACTGTACACACGCATTGGTGCCAGCGAGGAAGCTGAACAGCGCGAAGATGATGGAGCGGGAAGTAAACATGATGGAGCTCGTGGGAGGGAATGAAGCAAAGACATAGTAACAGGCAGGTGTTTTATAGGCTGAAACTTCCAGTGTGGACGCAAAGGCGTTGCTCGCTATGCTGCTGAAATGCCCTACTTTAGGCCAAAACAGTTCAGCCATAATCTCCGCAGACTCGAGAAGAACTGTGAACATCATGAGAAGTTTATGTGGCAAGTATTCAGAGGGAGATGTGCGGCACGAATGAATCTCCGGTTCCTGGGCGGCCTTGGTTTCGCGTTGATCTTCAGATATGTTCACGTTCATCGGATGTTGTGACTTCCTAAACAACACTCTCCGTTATATGTCCATCCTTGAATCGATGGAGCTCAGCACAACCGCCTCATGGATGCCAAAACTCCTGCGCAACGTTCGAATTTCGGTCTTCCGCAGAAGGTTCGTGGTCAACAAGACGAAATTTCGTGAGGTACGCTTTAAAAGTCAAGGTTAATAAACAGGTGTTGAACACTCCGGTTATTAACTGTTTATAATACTGTTAGAAAGCCGCTCCGTAATTTGGCCTGTTGGTAATCGTGAAAATTTGTGGTCATGCAGGGCCATCTCGGCTGTCCGGACGACTTCATAGCTGCAAAATTGAGTCCTGGTTATCGTGGCGGAAGGGATGTGTAGGATCATAAATAAGGCTGATGTCGATCGCGGACGTGCCGGGACTTTCTGCCGAGGATATGGGGCGGCAAGGGGTACCAGGCTGAGAATGGCTATCGCTTTAGTGACCTCGACGTAGGATGGATGATATACTAGTAGAGGGCAGGAGGGTTGGATCGGAAGACCCAGAGGGCTAAAGCAGGCTGATTCCGAAAAGCTCGCAATATGAAAAAAAAATGTTGAGAGTACTATGTATGGAATCCGTAAGACAAAGATAATTGCCTTATCACTGCATCAAAGCGAGTGGGGAGATTGGACCGGCTTTTCGGAAAAGAATCAGTGAACGTGGCATCAGATGTACCAGTGTTTAACAGTTGCTCCAGTGTCTCCTTAAACCTACATAGTTGCGATTGTCAGTCAGCGCCATGGATTTACAGACGGCGACAACGGAACCCACCAAGTCAAGTGGGGTCACAGGTGAGAGGAACTTCAGAAAATGTATAAAAGTCGATAGTAAATGTTGCATCGATGAGTTATTGTGGACAGCACTGGCGGTGAATGGCCCTATGTTGAGGATGCGTAACGACGCTTGTGTCTGGGTCAAGAACGATGTCGATGTTCCTATCCGCATGGACTGATATCGCCTGTCAATACTCATGTACTCGATGTTTGACGAACTTAAACATGATGCGTTATTGGACATACTTATCTGATATGGGATGAGTATTGCACCGGAAAAACCTACCAACCCGAGTAGACGTGTAGGTTAACAAAAAGCGTTTCATTCGAGGTAAATAAGTTCCCTGAACCTATGTCAAACCTACCTATGATGCATACCTCCAAGCGCGTTTTGCGGAGTATGAAATAGTCGTTGAACTTGTTCTCCTGTGATCAATCTCGAGCGCCGCCCTCGTTTTTCGTATGGCGGTCTTTGCGTATGCTCTGCCGTGGGTATTCTATCCACTATCATTCTGTACCATCGTATCTGCACGCCCCCTCTCAACCACCCAGTCATATGACACTGAACCGCTGATTATTGCATGCCCGGTCATCTTTCTAGTTTTGTTGCTTCTTCTTGCTGTCAAGCTTGTTTACGCGCAACACCGTCGACTCAGTGTCATTCGCTCTCGAGATATCCAGTCAACTCTTGACGTTTCACTGAACTCTCGGTCTTCCATTCTGTCTCTCAAAGCCGCTCAACTGAAGGCAACTCGTTTTAAATGCACGCCATTTCTTGGGATTTTGGTTGGATGCCTCGGATCTCCTGCATGGGAGACCGACATCGAATCTGACTTCGACTCCAATTCGACAAGGCAACGCCGAACTGCATCCTTCATGTACCAACTGCATCGACAGTCCAAGCAGCGTTCTTCATATTCTTACTCTGCGGCTCATCGTTCGAGCAAGAGTTTGACTGCTCAGGTACCTGCATCCCAAGCGCAGCTTACTTGCTCCACGTCTTTCTTCAGTTTATCCAGCGAGCATAGTCCAGAAGACGCGACCAGGAAGCCCGGGTTCCGTCCTCCGCCAAATATCCGAGTCCTCACGTATCCTACCAAAGCACGGTCGAGAAAGACTGCCACCATCCAGAGGTATTCATTACTCATCGATAATCCAATTTCTGGACAACAATGTGACTTCTGCGAAAAGTGTAACGCCACTGGCAGCAGCTTCCGGGCTCGTAACTTGTGTACTCCAAGTAATCGGACGACCTCTGGTGTCGATATTGGCCCGTCTCTAAGGCTTGTTGGCGCTACCGACGTGACCGCCGTCCCATACTCGTTCTTATCTGCATTTCCGCCTTCGTCATATGTTTTGTCACCCCTCACCGGGACTCGCGACTCTCTACAGCTATCTAGATTTTATTCAAGATCAACTCGGAAACCTGTCCCTCCGCTCCCGCCGTTGCCATCTTACAGTCTTTTGAATGAACGATCGTCTGATATTTCTCTGGCGAAGTTGCCTGCTGCATCGTCGCGTCCTCCTACAGGCTTTCCTCAAATTTTGCCTCCTCTCGAGTTTTCTCCACCCAACAGCACAGGTAGCTTTTGCGCTGTCGCTGATCAGGTGCCTGCCCACTTGTCAACCAATACTCCATTATTGCCCACCGATTCTTCAAAGCTCGAAACTAGTCCTCCCGTTTCTGTGGGCGTCGCTGATTACGTTGCCACTGTCAAATTACTTCCCGATGTCTTGCACCCCTCAGATCCACTTGTATTCGCTGTTCAGAAGATGAAGAGAAAGACGACACACAAACGCTCCCCTACTATCAGATCACGTAGCGGAACCATACCCGGTGCATCACCTCTACGCATCATGGCGCTCCCAGAGGATATGTCAGACCGTAAGCCCGTTGGAGATACGCCCACCGGGGATAAGGAGAATTCTACCCCTGCTACTTGCACGAGCAAGGCTACCGACGATGGTAAAATTCACCGCTCGCTGAAAGATGCCTCAAATCGCCTTTCTCTTATTCTGAACCTGGCTTCTCCAGATGCACAACTCGAGCTATCTACTCTAAGCCACTCCGCCCGTTCAATCAAATCCACAAAAAGCCTCGCCCGTTCTGACGCCGAGGGGTCTTTAAGCGACTTGTCATCATTGCAAACTCCGAAGTCTGATCGCCTGGACGAGGTAGACATCAGCATGCTGGGGCTTGATCGGTTCCACTGGTCTGAAGAAGGCGAGGAGTTGATCAAGTCTCATATCAAGAATGATAGCGTGGCGTTGATTTCGTTTTGGGAAGAGGGGCAGTGGATGCGAGAGAATAATTAATGGTGGGAGTGATACTTAGTTTCTGGTCATGTTCAGGACTAATGAGATGCATCACGCAGTTCGGACGCTGGAACTGCGCGGTAGATGTTGGATTAATGGATTGTCGCATTGATGTTTTGGTTATGTTCTCTCGGTTTGTCTTGTTATCACCTTGTAGCTTGTTGTAAATTCGAACGTCTTGTACGGAAGTTGTCATCGGAAGGAATTAATTATGGGATCAACCTTGGGTCACTCTCAAGCTGCATACTGTAGGAGTCAATCAGCAATATGAGAAGGTGGGGATCTACTTGGTGGGGGGCGAGTGTTGCAGACTAGCAACAGCATAGTGTACTAGATTCAAATATCTACACGAACGAGTCCGCGAGCGTTGGCGTATCGTTTTTTCCTTGCCTTGTCGCAGCTGTAGCAGAGTCGTAATTCTTTGATCATATCAAGGCTGTGTGCCATAGGCCGTCTATTAGTTATAGTGATAGAACTCTCATCATATAGTATTCGAACATCGTACTGGTCGTTTACATGTCTGGCCGCATAGCTGAGTCTAATAGGTCAACGATAATAGGTTGAAAGCCTGGACCGCCGCATGGGATTCTTTGACCACCCGGTCCAATCGCCTGACGCCCGAGGGGCTGGTTAGCTGCATTCACCATTATCGTCTCTCTTGCTCCAGACGCGGGAGGAGTTGTTTCTTTTGGATTCGAAAGCCCTTCGTGTTCATTTCCCTGCAACCAGGGATGCCGCGTGGCGCCACGTGCCTACAAGAGCTCGCGTATAAGACTCTCTGAAGTGTATGTAACTCAAAAACTTACTTCGTGTATATGCCCGAAGACGTGGAGGAGCGGAGGACTTTGCATCTTGGAGAGGTGCTCAAGCATCGCGGGGCATCCAGCATGAACCTCGGAAAAGGTTGTATCTAGAACGTTGTACGGAGGGCCGTGAGTCAGGCTGAAAACTAAGTTTAGTACGATTTCGTCTGCAGGATGTTGCCAGGTACATACAGAATGTCGACCTCAGGTATTTCGGCAACAATTTCTTGACCAGAATGAGTGCCTTCGAAGGAAGGAGGAGACATGACATACCAGGAGCTTCATCAGACAGGTAGTTAAAAGCCCAGCCTCCGAAATAGGGTTGCCACTTGAGTTTGAGAAGGTAAGGCAAAAGACCAGGTAGGTTGCGAAGGACAGTGACTTACTGGAAAGCCATACACGGACCACTCCCTTCCACCTTCCTTAGTGCGGAAGGTGTATAGTTCGTCCTGCAAATAGATTAGACCTCGATCACGATTTGCCTCCGAGTCGTTGTCGACGAGCTTTCTTATCGCAGTTGATGACTACATATGCACGTAAGAAGTGGTTCCCGCTAGCAGAGCAAGATAGCGCACCTCCTTCTTGTCGTGGAAGCCGTAGTAACCTTCCTCGTACCACTCTTGGTGGAGAGGTAGGTCGTGGTTTCCCGCTATAATACTGTGCATCCAAGTTAGACTTCCGGCTATGCGATAAGAACACGTGCAACGCACATTTTGACCCCATGGTCCAGACTACGCAACCAATCTATAGTGACTCGAATCTCGCCTTCCCTACCTAGTCGGCTGAGATCACCAGAGTGAAGCAGGACATCCCCAGAGGGAACACTGAAAGTACAAGAATGTGTGTCGCTGATGCACACAAAACGAGTCCAATCTGGACCCGGATGAGCTGGTGGATTTGCGGGGTCGTAGGAAATATGAACTTGGGCGCTAGGCGTGTGGAAGCCTTCTTGTAACTGCGCATCTGATTTGGACCTCATGTTCGCTCTTGCTTTCTGCCCCGATTTATTGTTAGCGTCACTACACAAGCTGGCGATTTGGTTAACAGACGCGCACTTGTAGAAGCAACATTTTGAATACCGTAGTTGACGAAGAAAGTTTACTTGAAACAATATTAATATTGGTTCACGGTGGTATCTGTATAAGTACTAGTGCCCCTATTTTTCCGGATTCGTCGATGCTGACTGGGAACTCTAGAAGCGGCTTTTACGGAAGCCTGCTCCGGTGCTACATCATGGTCACCAAGGCAGTCACGGTGGCGGCTAGTAGGTGGCCCTTCAGTTGTATGCTACATCGCAAAAATCTCAATTATTTGATACCGACCTTCCGACTTCAGACACGAACTCGACCATCGGCCATGTCCTTGAAGACGATCGCAGTCTGCAGTGAATCCGAGCTACAGGATGGTCAAATGTATGTCAGGGGGGTTGGAAGTTCATAATGATCGTCATGATCCATTTGATTCCTCAGGAAGCAAGTAGACTTTGAGGGAGAGGGAAAGGTGGTTTTGTATCGTTTGAACGACAATATCCATGCGACTAGTGCCTTTTGCACTCATTATGGTGCGCCCTTAGCCAAGGGTGTGCTAACGGCGGATGGTAGGGTTGTCTGGTGCGTCTTTCTGCATTCGTAACTCTTACTAGATTACTGAGTTCATGATCGATAGTCCTTGGCACGGAGGTAAGTTCACGCGGATGTGTACAGCATAGCTGAGATTCAAAGTGTAATAGCTTGTTTCCGTGTTTGCACTGGTGACATTGGTCAGTGTTTGCTCTGGGGACTCGTTGTAAGGATACTAAATTGCTATCTAGAGGATGCGCCAGCTCCTACTGCAATTCACTCCTTTAAGGCGGAAGTCGTGGACGGCAAGATCAACGTGACCGCTGATCCGTCGCAGACCCTCAAGAGCAACATGAGTCGAGCACCCAAGCTCTTGTCGACTGGCGCTGCTGGGTCTGGGAAAAGCGTTGTCATTATCGGTGGAGGGTCCGCCACTTTCCACGCCATCGAGAGCCTGAGAGAGGTACGAACAGTTGGTTGACCAGACGTTGGTTTTAACCACTCGCAGCATGGATATCCTGGAAATATCACCGTTCTTTCCAAAGAGACACATCCCCCAATTGACCGGTACGAGAACAAATTATAAACGATAATAGTTGTTGACATATGCCTACAGAACGAGGTTGAGCAAGACTTTGGTCACAGATCCGTCAAAACTTGAATACAGGACGGCCGCTGACCTCAAGATTAAGTATGGTACCACTCTCCGCACTGGCGTGGTGGGTATTTACCTTGCTGGAGAGTACACATTCTAACCGTTGCCAGACTGTGACTTCCGTGGATACGTCTTCTAAACAAGTCGTATTTGATGGAGGAAAGGAATCTATATCCTATGAGACGCTGATTCTCGCTATGGGTGGTGCTCCTCGTCGTTTACCGGTTGCTGGATCAGACCTTGAGAACGTATACACGTTCCGTGGCATCGAGGACTCGAAACACGTTGATGCAGGTAATATTATCCACTCTTGATCATGAGTCTTTCTCAATGCTTTGAAAATTTCTAGCGGCTCAAGAGGGAAAGCGAATGGTTGTCATTGGAAGTTCCTTCATCGGCATGGAGCTTGTAGCTGCTGTCGCTAAGCGGGGACTTGCGTCCATCGATGTCATCGGCATGGAGGAACACCCGTTCCAGAGCGTACTTGGCAAAGAAGTGGGCGAGGGTCTTCAGAAGGTTGCGACGTTTACTCTTTGATTATTGTCCTCAACCTCAACCCTTTTGGTCACAGTATCATGAATCTCAAGGTGTCAAGTTTCACATGAAAACTCAGGTCGAGAGGATCGTGCCATCGGAGAACAACCCTTCACTGGCTGCTGGTGTTGTCATCAATGGGGAGACTCTCCCCGCCGACTTCATCGTCATGGGAGTTGGCGTGACTCCAGCGACTGAATTCTTGAAGCAAAGCGGCTTCCAGCTTGAGAAGGACGGGGGAATCAAGGTTGACGAATACCTGAAAATTCAAGGTCAAGATAACATTTACGCAGTCGGTGCGCTTGATAGTTCCCTGTTCCACTCGTTGACCATGCCGACATTTAGTACAGGCGATATTGCTTGGTACCCTCAGCAAGAGACGGGAGAGAGCCGTAGGATAGAACACTGGAACGTAAGCATATACGCATCCTCACCTCATGGAATTACCAAATTCCGTCGCTCACGCTTCTCCACAGGTTGCGGGTAACCATGGTCGTGCTGTTGGTAAGACGATCGCAGGCGACCCACAGCCATTTGAGAAAGTGCCAATCTTTTGGAGCGCCCGTATGTTTAGTAAATCGAATTAGGGACTTCACTTACGACATTTCGTCAGAGGGACAGCAGCTCCGTTACTGTGGCATTGGAGCAGATTATGACGATGTCATTATACACGGTACCCCGGGCGAGATGAAGGTACCACATGTGGAACACTCTGACCGCAGTCTGCTGACGTGTCTCAAGTTCATTGCGTACTATGTCAATAGCGGCAAAGTTGTCGCTGTAGCCAGGTAAGGCGTTCCCTTTGAACTGCTGGTCGCTCGCTATAATGCTCACAACGACAGCATGCAAAATGACCCAGTGGTCAGCAAAGCATCTGAGCTCTTGAGACTTGGGCTCATGCCGTCTCCCGCCGAGCTGAGGGAAGGAAAGGTGAATAACGGTCCTTTAAGTTTACTGCTCATTGATGATATGTGTCTCTAGAACCTTCTCGGTGTCGATATCTCCACGGTTTCCACAAAGGCACGTGTCGAGTCCATCTGAAATATCGTTCTTGAAAATACAAATTGTACATTATTGCTAGTGGTAGGCGCTGCGAATTGACTACTTAGGTCTCCATCCTCTGGCCGCGTATCAATGGACATTCTGTCTGCACACCACCTGAAGTGCATGCGAGCAGCATCCACTAAATTGATTTGAACCATTGCCCGTATCATATTCTATCAGTTGCATAGCCTCGCAGTAGTTGAATAAGCTGCCAGCTGCGACGTGAATCAGGTCTTGAGGAGTATCTGTGTCAGACTCTAACTCCAGTCCGAAAAGATAAAACAGCGTGTAGTGGGAAATGTATATCGTTGTCCAGAAGCCCGGTGTCCCGGTGTCTTCTTAGCCCCCACCAAGAACAGGAATTCACTGGCAGTTGGCAAGCGCCAGAGAGCTGATCCGAGCCCCTGGTGCAAATTCATGGACTGGGTGTTCCTGGCTTTCAAGGCCTGAGATCTCGTGCAAAACCATATTCAACCGCTACTGGCGCTAATGAGGCTCGGGCCTCTGGGAATGGTAGACTGATCGGCATTAGGGAACCTGGAGTACGGGGTTTCAAGATCTGGAATCTGGTCATCATCAATAAAATACTATCCGATATATATGCCGGGAGGGACACACGGTCACTTGTGAACGTGCGAGTAGTGAAGGAGCATTATTAAGTTGCCAACGCGAAGAACACGGTTCGAAGAAGGCGTTGCAAGTCATACTGTAGACGATTTCATACTCGGCAAAACGCATCTAGGTATGCAACATAGCCAGGACGCTAAGGAGACACTGGAGCAATTGTTAAACTATGGCGCATCTGAATCTTGAGAGTGTCAAAACCATGGGTCGATGGAGTAGCGATGCCTTTGTGCTATATCTTCGGCAGCATGCGGTAGTCCTGGCTCCTTATCTCCAAGACAAACCAATACTGAAGCCTTTCATGTGTTTCACTCCGCCATAACTTCATTCGCTTTCATTTTGTAAGTCTTCGCACACCTCCTTTGTTGTTTTGGGGCTTAAGCTTATGCTGGATGCGTCGTTCTTGCTCCTACTTATAGGGTATCTCAGCTCACTCTTGCCCCCTGCAAAGGCATGTTTCGGTCGAAAGCCCACGGGCTTTGCTCAAACAAAGGTTTACATATTCTAGCGTAGTTTTCTCAATCGTTTGTGTCGCGTCTTAATGCCATACATTTGCCTTCCTTGACTTCACACTTCGAGTCAAGAACAAAGATCTACCATAAGATGCATGTGGGAACGAAATACTAAAATAGGGTGCACGTGCTGTAGACACCTGCGCAGCGCCAGTGGCCCAAGCACCTTTGCAACAAACATTGAACCTGATTCCTGTCTATCCACGTCATGGGTCTTTTGTTCTCTATTCCCCTCGCTGGTCCGCTGGGGACCATCGCAGCATCATGTCTAGGAGGTCTGGCGTTCTGCTTCACTTCAACAGCTGGTGGGACTTGTCTCCAATTCTGCACATGTGGAACTTCGACTCATATTTCTCAGCGTCCATGTTTTGCAAGTCTTGTAACTGCAACTCCTCAATAGCGACGAGAGTCGGTTTTGCAGTGAGTAAACCTAGTCGGAGTTTGAACGAGTTATAATCATGGTCGCCTAGATGATCTTTATTTTGAACTCGCTGTTAGCATGGCTCATGAAGACACCATTCGCAATCCACAAGATCGAGCAATGGAGTTATGACTACATAAAGATGGACTGCGACGAGGGCAAGTGTTATGGTGTTCTTGCGGTGCGTCCAACGCAACTCGTGGTGACTTGGTGTTGACCCACGTGAACCCAGGTCCATCGTATTTGTTTCGCATTATCTCTATTCCATGCGATCTTGAGCTTGTCTCTGATCGGCGTCAAAGAGTCCAGGGATAAACGCGCCGCAATACAGAATGGGTAAGTAACCCCTGTCTTGCGTTGAACACATGCTCATCTGAGCTAGCTGGTGGGGTCCAAAGGTTCTGCTGTGGATGTTGCTCGTCGTAGTTTCGTTCTTTATACCAAACGGGTTTTTCATGTTCTGGGGCAACTACGTTTCTCTTATAGGTGCCACCATATTTATCCTCCTCGGTTTGGTTCTCCTCGTCGACTTCGCCCACTCATGGACGGAAATGTGTCTAGAAAACTGGGAGAACTCGGATTCGACTTTGTGGCAATGGATCCTCATAGGCTCTACCGCTGCCATGTATGTGGCGTGTATCACCCTGACCGGCATTCTATACGCCTATTTCGCAAGTTCCGGATGCACTCTCAACCGGTTCTTTATCTCATTAAACCTGGCCCTTTGCATTGTTATCACTCTTATGTGCATACACCCTGCCATTCAAGAGTCGAATCCTCGATCGGGCCTCGCTCAATCCGGAATGGTCGCTGCATACTGCACCTATCTTGTTGTCTCCGCCGTCAGTAATCACGCACACCAATCTTGCAATCCACTCAGCCGGACTGACAAGACGCGGACTACCACAGTTGTTCTTGGTGCAGTCTTCACATTCTTGGCTATCGCCTATTCTACCAGTCGCGCGGCGACGCAAAGCCGTGCATTGGTGGGCAGTGGAAAGAAAGGTGGTGCAGTTCAACTTCTGGTCGATGATAGTGAGCCTGCGGAAATGAATATAGTTAGCACTCAACCGGGAAAAACGGAGTCGCCGAGATATCAAGCTCTCCTCGCTGCCGTCGAGGCTGGGTAAGTGATAGTACTATAGAATCGGCATATTTGGGTAGTGATAATTTGCCAGAGCAATCCCTGCATCCGCTTTAAACGAAGAGGACGATGAGGATGAGGATGAGGACTACGGAGAAGCCAAGGATGATGAACGTACCGGCACGCGATACAACGTGTGTATTTCGCAACTTATTCCACATCAATTGCCTTAACACATGCATAGTATTCCTGGTTCCATATTATCTTCGCTATCGGGGCAATGTATGTTGCCATGCTCTTGACTGATTGGTAAGTCGCCTTCAATTATATGCAGAGCCTTCCGCCCATTTTTTCTACGTAGGAACGTGGTTTCCACGGAACAGGGTTCTGATGAGTCCGAGGAGGTTGTCCGTATCGGCCGCTCGGAGACCGCGATGTGGATGCGCATCGTGAGCAGTTGGGTGTGCATATTATTGTATATGTGGAGCTTGCTCGCACCCGTGTTGATGCCAGATAGGCAAGTGATCTCGATTGGAGTGTCGAACTGGCCTCATAACTTTTACAGGTTTGGAGAGATATGAAGTCCAACTTTTCTACTTCTTTATTTATTTCGTCTTGATATGGATTACCGATTGAACTTTGGATCAATGATGTGCCCCTTGATGTACTATGTTCACTTTCGTGCCCATAGTTCTACGGTTCGGTTTGGATACGTCTCTCCTATTCAGAGGACGCGTGCGTGAGCCTTTTGATGTTCGCAAAACAGTAGCTTCGTTTCCGTGATCGACATTTCGGACGGCTCTGATGGCTGTTGACGCGAGATGGCCCGGTCAAGTCAAGATCGACTGGTGACGTGAGTCGAGTGCCTTCGTCCTCTGAGGCGCCTCTTGAAGAAGTGTGCGCCACAGGCAGTCGTATCCGAATAACTACGGGTGCGGCGTCACTCCGGGCTGATGCGAATGATTCTGTCTCCGGTGACTTCTTTACCAACATTCACATTCCAATGATATGTTTCGCTCTGCTAGTTTCGTCACTATTGGAGGTAAGCTTAAAGTAGACTTCATCGGGACCACAGGCGTGTTGCTGACAAGCGCAATACTTTTGAAATTGTTCATTGTGTTGATTCCTGGGCGTTATGATATGATGTTGCTGGAATACGAGCTTCAAGTGACTTAGTACAAGGTATTGTACGAGACTGTTACGGTGCCGCGGGGGCTGCGGTCAAATTAGGGCCGTCGAAAGAGCTTCCTAGACTCCTGCCCTATTATAACGAGCCTATCTGCCAAATGGGCCAAGGCTTGAATGAATTGTAAGTTAGAGCCTGGACAGCTGCCGTTTATTTCGAGTTTATTTCTCAGTTTGTTTCTGTATGTGGCGTGGCAATGTGTGACTTGCGGTGACAATGAGTGACGCATTCGTGACATGTCCATGAGATTGGCTTGCGGCGGCGCTGGGCAGCGCTGTCATCACGATCAACTGCGACCAACAACAAGGTCCAATTCACAGCCTTCGTGCTTCGCTACTCCAAACTGTTCATTATTGGCCATCAGATACTATCTATTTTGTTCACTGTAATAAATACATGCTGAATGATTTTAGTCCATGAGAATGTACAAATTTTTTATTGAAATGGTAGAATACTTGAGCTCGCTGTTGCCTACAGCGAGCACGAAGGTTTTGACACCGTGTGGCGTGAGGTCGCGCAATGTATCCAATTTGGTTCGTAACGCTGGACGGTGGCTTGTCACATTTATTTGTGCATGTTGTGGTAAATGAAATAAACTGCGAAATAAACTGCGAAATAAACTGCGAAATAAACGGCAGCTGTCCAGGCTCTTATCGTACAATAAACCTGGAGAATTTTTGGACCTGAATCACCTGCATACAGCAGTGGAGCTTGGGCAACTCCAGTTTGTTACTTCTTCGGAAGTAAGGTACCAATAACTCATCTATGAGAATCTTGCTGGAAGCATGCGAAATGGCTGAATGCTCTTCACTCTTTTGCACGGCTTGCCAGTGACGATGCAGTTCTTCCCGAAGGGGATGTCGTGATTACCTTCCGCTGCTACTATCTTGGGACAGAGTTGATGCGCGCCGGAAGTACGCAACTCAGGGCGGACGCTCTTCTGGGTACAATCTTCGTGAATGACCGCACTCATCATTGGTGCATTGGTGCATTGGAAGACTTGACGTTTCTTTGCCGATTCGCTGTAGCACGATCATCCTGAGCTGTGTGGATAGACGGCTATATAATGCACCTCGACCCTCCGTTCAGAGGCCAACTGGAGCAGCTCACTCATCATGATCAACTCAGTCACTCGTCTGCTCTTCACTGTTGCCGTCGCGGTTGTCCCCTCTGTTTATGGCCACATTGCCTTCTGGCACCCCAGCATGTGGGGCTTCAACGTCACGGACAAGGATCCAGCTTATTCTTACGATAACCGCCCTGTTGTTCCCTTGGCGCGTATGACGTTCGACGAGTGGTGGTTCCACAACCACCTTCAGTATCCTCCGCACCCAAACGATGCCTTTGAACTGCCCGCCGGGAAAACTGCCATTGCAGAACTCGGGTGCAACAAGGGCGCGACGACGTGGTGGAACTCGTCCGAAGGGTTAGTTATCTTATTACATCTTCAATCAAGTCGTATGCTGAGTTCAATGGTAGCGGAGACATTCGTCAGGGGGACTGGCCTTGCCCTAGATCTCCTTCTAGCCAGTTCCACACCAAGGACATCGACGACGTTAAGGGTTGCGCACTTGCCATTGTTCAAGAATCGAACGTCAGCAAGATCAAACCAGAGGACTTCGTGGTCTTTAGTGTCAATCAGACTTGCGTCTGGCACAGATTCACTGCCTTCCAGGTACATATTCCTACGACGACCGAAGATCTGCTGAACGCATTTTTTTGCAATCATAATTATAGGTCCCAGCTGAAATGCCTTCCTGCCCCGGCGGAAAATGTACGTGTGCATGGTTCTGGATCCACTCTCCCGATAGCGGCTCTGAACAAAGTAAGACGATTTCCTTTCTTGTCCGGTCATTCTGACTCGGTGCCTTGCAGTGTATATGAATGCCTTCCAATGCACCGTAACGGGTTCTAAACACGATGCACCAGCTCTCATGAAGCCTCAAGTTGCAAGACGTTGCGGAGCAGATCCTGAACATGGAGTCAACCACACCACCCCTAGCAACTGTACGCACGGAGCGAAGCAACCATTGTACTGGCTGCAAAATGAAGGCAACAACGTGAGCATTTTGAAACCGTTCAAGCGATACTGAATCTGAATCTGATTTGGTTAGATGTTTGAGGATTACATGGGTCCTCCGTTGTACAACGATCTTTACAATTTTAAAGATGGAGCTCAGAACGACATATTCGTAACGAGCACAAAAGACGGCTCAGAAGCGGGATACATATCAGCCGTCTCGCTTCTCAAGGTTTTGGATGAAGAACACTATACTTTGAGGGAGGCAACCGTAGAGGACATTTAGGAAGGGGTACATCGAGTTCTTGACTCACCTTTTGGTTTCACTTCGGATTTCACGCTGATTAAAATGTGCTATAGCTATTTCACAACGACATGCGATCTGCTTCTGCAGTTCAAAATAGATTTCGTCTGTCGGCGGTCGAGCGCGACCACTGAGTCAAACTTGAATAAGTATATTTTGCATATTATGGACCTGTGGGAGGGGACAGCTGCAAATCCAACGCCGAGGATAAGACGCCATGGCTAATTTTGAAGGTACACCAGGTCTTTGATCTCTGTAAATCAAATTGAACATCGTATGAAGGGAAGACTACTCAGTAACTCACTGTTGTCCTTGAACGGAATACTTCTGCAACGTGTACTGAGAACGGGCCCTCAGAATCAGGTGCATCTTTCATCTTCCACAACCAGAGGGTACAATCTGTCATAAATGTAAATGAAGGGCCCAAAGCAGGTTTTCTGATCGTCGATGCAAATGCGGAACGTGGATTGAATGGTGCAGCTGCTGATGTTCCGTTGATCACCTAGATAATATAAGAAGTAGGTGCGAATTCGTGTAAAAACCTTACGATGATAGTTATCCTGAAAGTCTGAGCAAACTCCCGCAATTGACGCATAAACGTGGTCATCATGGCATGTCCTTGAGAAGATACCGCGCTTAAGGAAGGTAGCAGAAGTGGGGTTATGGAGTCAAGAACGATACATTGAACTGTCGGTCCAACAATACAAGAGCTCTGTGATACATGGGATAATCGGGGAACGAATCGAGCGCAAAAAGAGATGGACGCTTACCGAAAGCGAAATACGCAGTGATTCAAGGACATCGTACACAGCCTCGATATTGAAACCCAAGGATACCTGCAGTCTCTCTAGCACTTTGTCGGATGTCTGGGAGTCTTTCATTAGGTTCTCACCGCTAGATTGACGATGAACTTTACCGCCATGTCAACATGTCGCACTAACTGAGCAGTCTTCTCTGCGGAGAAGTCACCGGATGTATCAATCCATAATGCACACGAATCTGCATCAGCGACAAGACGCTGTATCACTACCTGCAGCGCAAGTGCCTGTCATCTTCGTTGTAAACTGTTTCTCGAGGACAGACTTTAAGTTATCTGACCGTTTTACCTGATCCTTTATCACCAGATATTTCAAAAACTCGAGAGCCGCCGAAGCCACCAACAAGGTCATCTAGTTCCTTCACACCACAGCTAGCTTGAGAATGTTTCTCAGATATCCGCCCTAGGTCAACAAGAACCTCGTCTCCCCGATGTCCAGGGGCTGATGCCTGTTCTGCTACCAGTTCGGTGAACTTTTGCAGGTCCGAAAGTGTTACAGTCCCGAGTGGTAATTTCTTGATGATGTCCAAGCTGGAACCAAAGAAGAGGAGATCGGTGTCCGTTCGGATGCCACATGAATCGTCAAGTGCTGCTACTAGTTCTGTAGGAATTGAGGGAACCAATGATTCTAAGCGCATGACGACGAGCTAGGGGACGCGACTTGGGGTAAGATCAAAGAACACAAAGACCAAAAGAAGGAAGACAGTCATGGATCCTTCTTTATTATGATGGCGCACTTGACAAATTATAACTGTCCTTTTATTCCACAACCTTGCCTTTTGGGGTCGTTTCACCATCTTTGATCAGCATCAATTCTCGACCATCCAAGCTGGTCGTGCGGACGATATCAATTGATGGCCGAGCCTCCCCAGACTGACGTTTCCCGTCCCTCGGCATTGCCCACAGCCAAGTTACTACAGCGCCCCGCTTTTAATCAAGCTCTCGTCGATCAGAACTCAGATGAATATCTTGATGCAATCGAGGAGGAGTGGAACAAGAAACTAGATGCTGAAGTGGATATATTGGTTGATGGTATGGTCGATATCGTTAGTCTCGCATCGGTAAGCGTTGTACGCGCTTTCTCGAGCTATAACTCTGAAAGCTCTGTAAGATCGGAGACAAGGACAAGTTTCGAATCGCACAAGAATCATTCCAGGCTGAGTCTCGCGCCGAGTCTATGGTATGAGGAAAACAGTTCTGAAAAACGACTTGCTCATTCTCGAGATCATCCAGGTCCGTGCAGCTAATTCGCTGTTGTCCATAACACATTCCTTGAAGTTGCTGCTTCTCTTGTCTGACGAGGCTCAAATCGCTCACCGTCGGGATGCAGAACTCAAGCACGTACAACAGGAGAAGAATGAAGCTCGTCGGAAAGTCGCCGAACTTCTCGATCAGTTGATGAATTCAAAAGGCGAATCGTCACAGTGAGACGATAATTCACTCTATGCTTTCCTGGCTTTGTGGTCACGCACATAATCGTGTTCACTGGTTATTTTGGCCAAGTATTCCGAGGGGAAGCCCCGACATGAAACTCATACCTCGCCGCGGAGCTTACTCTTTCACGAAGTTCTTATGGACCATTGTTCGGTTGTTTGACACCCTTGCATAAATCATTGATGTCTGGACAAAGTGCCCTTTAAAGTCCCTAAAGTTCCCTTGCTCTGAGTTGAGTCGAATATTGCTCTCCCAAGTAATACACGGGTGTATCAGGGTAGATCTACATCCAGAAATTTCAGTCGTAGATTCTAGCAAGACGTGATTAAATACTACCGTGAAACCGTCGTCGGGCGTCGGTCCACTCGTTAAGTTTGAACCAGCTTGCCTATGTAGCAAGGATTATCTGACCCGCTGTTTTCCATTCGCGAAGACTCAAGACTCACCAGATGAGTACACCAGTCAATCCGCAATCGATAACGGTGGAGTACCAATTCTCGTAGGTCGTGGTCTGGTTCTGGTCAGCGTAGACACCGAACTCTTCCATCAGCACGGGTTTGTTGTAGGTGGCCTGAGCGCTGCGGTGGTCCTCGATCCATCCCTGGCCCCAGGTCATCGCGCTGGCAGATAATGAAGCTAGGAGCAAAAATGATTTGCGTGGATTGCGTGCTTACCTCGGAGTTTCCTCACCCCAGCTGTACTAATTCAGCATGGAGGTTCCATAAATTATGGTGTGATCATAGACAACAGTGTTCAACCTACAGGGTATAGCTGTTTTTATTTCCGACTTCAGTCGGGACTAGAATAATAAAGAAAAAGAAAAACGACATACATGAAAAGTTCCAAAGTCGATGGTGTCAATGGCCAAGTTGGCATCAAAGTCGACACCCTGAGAACCACTAGGTTGGGTCAGCAAACAGTGTTTTCGAGCCAAACGTTTACAATCAACGTACTCGTATGTATAATCGGTAGAGTTAGACCAGTTAAACCAGCCCTCATCTCCGAGGCCAACAAGATGGTTGCTGTCGCAAGACTTAATGTAGGTAGACATAGTCTTGACCCAGTCGGTGATCGTGGTGGTGGTGCAATTGCCTGAGGTCGCGCTGTGCTATGTCAGGCAAAGGTCATTGTTTATTCGAAAAATACTTAAAATACCTTGTCGAGCCGGTGCAACGCGGTTCGTTTGCTGGAAATACCAGTAAGCGATGGAGATGGATCAAAGGAAGAGGTGCCACTCACCCAATTCCCAGCCGAGGATGGTGGGTTCGTCGACGTACCTCTCAACCCACACCCTCACGTAGTTTTGGAAGGCGGCCTCCACAACCGCAGAGTCAGTGAGAAGTATTGTCGAATACATGATATACACGTACAATGACCTCGGGGTTAGAGTAGAAGTAATCGTGGGGCTGGCCCTCCCCGAGAATCTGGTTAACGTAAACGTCCATTCCACCATAATCTGACCAGTTATTCGTGCTAAATCATAAGGTCAGTCGTAAGATATTATGCAGAAGTTCCTAACGCACAGTGTAACAATGAGGCGAATGTTGTTTGCCTTGGCAGCAGCCACAATATTATCTTACACAAGATGCTGAATATTAACCTGTAGGAGAACTAAACCAACTTAGCCCACCGAAGTTTCCAAGACCAGTTGAACCGTAGTTAATGGTAGCGGTGCTTCCGTTCCAGAGCTGGTAGTAGTTCCCCGTTAGCGGAGGTGACCTCGTTAAAGCCCCTGACAAGGTCGTGTCAGCAGACCCTCATTTCATATGAAATTAGCAATAAACCATGTGCGGACAGTGGTCCCACCGGTGGTGGCAATGTTCTTGAAAACAACATCCATCTCATCGGTGGTGAGACCAGTCAAGCCAACCCAGTAGGAGTTGGAGCTGCAAAAACCGCTTTCGCATGAGGCCCTGTATACACGTCGGCTGTTCTCCGTACCCAAAGACACAGTATGGTTGGCCATCGAGGGTGAAGCTTTGGCCCTCAGCCTTCACGAATGAGGTCGACCGCCCAGCCATAGGTTTAGAGAACTCAAGCTGCATCAGTCAGACGTCATAACAATGTGATCAACCCGCTCACCGAGACAGTGGCCAAAGCCAAAGTAGGAAGAAAACTTGCCTTGAACTTCATGTTGTAACCCAGGATACGACGCAGACAAAAACCTATTCAAATTATTTGTCCGATTCGACCTTTTAAAACATATATACGGGGGGCGACGCGGAAATCTTTGCGTCACAGGTTAATCACTAAAATTAACTAGACAATGGATAGCGCGAGATTTCGCCGTTCGGACGAGTGTTTTTAAATTCTTGACACGACACGTCACTGATATGCACTAGGATCCAAAGATTCATTACCAGGAGTCTGGTACTTAACTCGATGATATCACAACAACATACTCTGGTTCATAACATTACTAGCGGGAGTAAAGAACACTCGCACCTTGTTTGCTATGGAAAACAGGCCTTCGTCCTAGAGGGAAGGGCTTTCAACAGACAGCAACCACATAAATTGAGCTGCTGGTGTCACAATGAGAGCCGAGTGTTTGAGAACTGACGTGGCACATGCCGTTGCTTCTTTTCTGTCCCTGAAGGAGTGGACGAGATCTATCCCCACGATTCCGAATGCTTTATAAATTTGAGAGGCTATTTGTGACCTACTTGGGTAAACCAAGGTAGTCAGCGTCATCTCACCGCATGGGCGTTCTAGTATTGAGTGTGAAGATGGTGAGGGGAAACTTGGGAATAATCAGCAACGAAGCAAGAGAATCGGAAAGAGCTGAGAGACACCTCATCAATTCTTGAGGGATTGATTGATTTTAAATTCACGTGGACAATTCATCGCGTGCTTTCACGATGGACGGATAAATGCGGACTGTGCATGTGATGATTGTAATACAACAAATTTAAGCACGTTACATCCTACAGCGCTTTCTCACTGGCAATCAGTTCCTCAAGTGTGTCGACATATGGACCGCTAAGTTGTGCGACAGCCATGAGTGGCCGTCGGACGTGAGTTTCTCCATATCCGAAATGCTTTGAGATCAGTGTCTTCATAGCACCAATTCCTCCGGCCTTGCGTGTTGCCCAATCACCCTGACCTAGCTGAGCCTGAATGTTCATAGCCTCATCGATCTTTCCCGCCTGATAGAGCGCGTACATCTTCATGTGTAGCTTAGGCACGAGGTTCGGGAGCGCGGCAATTGCGCCAGCACTTCCGGAGAGGAGGCCTTGTAAGAGCACCTCGGAGACACCGGCAAGAGTGCAGAATTCTGAGGGAGGCTTGGTAGAAGTGATTCGGTGGAGCTTTCCGATATTTCCGCAGGACAGCTTAGTGCCTACAATGTTGGGGTGCTCTGAGAGCGTGAGGATGATATCGGAATCCAGGTCGATGCCAGCAGTGACGGTCGGGAAGTTATACACCATGTATGGCAAAGGTGAATGATCTGCCACCTGGACGTTCACAATGATGAGAAATTTTATTTAGTTTGATCAGTTATCTGGAATGCTCACATCACGGTGGTAGCGGATGATGTTTTCTTTCGTCATATCACCAGGCCAGACGGAGGGCGTCAATACGAGCACAAAGGCAGCGCCAGCGTCCTTTGCATCTGCGCAGAGCTTCTTCGTCTCTCTTGCGGATTGGGCACCACAGCCTGCAATGATAATAACGTTCTGGAAACCGTTCTCATCCAACGTCTTGCGAGTAAGGCTAATTGCCTCTTTACGCTCGTCGTGTGACAAGTGTTGAGCCTCCCCATTGCTTCCCTGCACGACGATACCTGTGACACCTCCCTGAGCAGATTGAAATGTTATCCACCGACATTCAGGATTCATAGGTTTGTTCGTACCTGAGCCAGCCGTAATACATGAGACTTTATAGCAGGGACATCAAAGTCTTCGTTCTCTTTGAAGAACAAGACAGCAGGGACGTAAATTCCGGCAGGGGGTACCGCAGCTTGCATGTTGCAGATCGTCGACGATGCAGTGAAAAGTAACAGCGGCTGCTCTGGCAGTTATATATGATCTGTCCCGCGACACCATCTTCAATATTACCTCTGGCGGAGCTCCGAGAGCACGACAGATGTGACGGTCAGCTGTCTCAGCTTCGAGGTAGCGGGCCGATGTGTGTCTCACGTGCCATCTAAGAAGTAAGGGAGAACGGAGGATTTCACACTGTCGGGTTAGAGAGTTAGAGGGTGCGCGACACGCGCTGACTCAGCATGTCACGTGCTCCCTGGCCATAATAGACCATTGCTGTGACTTAGCATCAAACGGCCAAGTCGTAACTCGACTGTTCACGATATTTTCTTGTTTCCTCAAAAGACTTGGTCTGTACACGGCCAGACGCGGCAGGGGCGGTTGTCGATCCAGTCACACCTGTATTCTATTTACCTTCTCTGAGCCCAGGATTACAGCATCATCGACACGTTACCATGTACTCTTCGTTCCGCCGTCGTATATCTGCTAGCTTGTCACCCAGAAAGGTCGTAACATATGGCCTCAATGCCAGCAGAAAGGTTGCTGAATTGCAGAGGCCCGTGCACCGCCAATTCGGCACGCTGTTAACCTCCTCACCGAGCTCTGTTCGACTGCGGCAACGGTATGCATCCCAAACCCCTGCCGCCTTGCGTAACCTCCACGTCCGCGCCATTTCATACTCGTCTATACCTCGCTTTGTTGCCCGAGCATTTCGTGTACCGGTAGCTGGTGCTGCTCTCGGAGCCGGCGGGCTTGGTTACGCCAATTACAAGTTTGAAGGTGAGCACAACTACGCCATACGCTCATATGGGCTCATCTTATTGCTACAGAACTGCGCAACAAGTCGAATGCTTGGATATCGTCTGTTCAAGATGCAGCCTCAGATTTTATGGACTCGGCTTCGGACGGCATCAAGTCTGTCTCGTCTCGCATATCTGCGGTCCAATTACCAGACATCGAAACGCCTCAGTTCCTAAAGGATTTATTTGCATCTATGGAGGCCGGTGAGAAGTCGCGAGAAGATAGCTCACAGGGGGAGTCCTCGACCCCACGATCGCCGGAAGAGAATACTGCTATAGCAGCTCTGATTGCTGCAACTATGTCTTCCCCGTCAGATTCAAAGGCATCTGACGGGTCTGACGGAAATGGATTCGACTCAAAACAAAACCAGCTTATGCATCTCACGAGAAAGCTTATTGAGATCAGAAGCATGTTGCTGAGCATTGATCAGAGTGACGCGCTGAAGCTCCCAAGTATTGTCGTCATCGGCAGCCAGAGCTCAGGAAAGAGCTCAGTGCTAGAAGCCATTGTGGGGCATGAGTTTTTGCCAAAGTGAGAAATTGTATTCCTCAATAGGCCTATGCTGATGGCGATGCAGGGGCAACAACATGGTTACTCGCCGTCCTATAGAGCTCACCCTGGTCCATACACCTGCCAAGGCTGATGGCAAGACTCCTGAAGAATACGGCGAGTTCCCGGCTCTTGGCCTGGGGAAGATCACCAACTTCTCCCAAATTCAGCAAACCCTCACTGACCTCAACCTTGCCGTCCCGCCTTCTGAAGCCGTTTCCGATGACGCCATTGACCTCCGCATCTATAGCCCCAATGTTCCTGACCTCACCCTCATCGATCTACCTGGCTACGTACAGATCTCATCCATGGACCAGCCAGAAACACTCAAGGAAAAAATTGCAGGTCTATGTGAGCGGTACATCCGGGAGCCAAATATTATCCTCGCAGTTTGCGCAGCCGACGTAGATCTCGCAAACTCGCCTGCCTTGCGAGCGAGCCGAAAGGTTGACCCTTTGGGCCTGCGGACAATTGGTGTCATCACGAAGATGGATTTGGTGCCCCCTGAACAAGGCGCGACGATCCTTGCAGGGAACCGCTATCCCTTACACCTAGGATACGTAGGTGTCGTTGCTAAATCGGCAGGGAAGAAGTCCCACTCGCAGTCCGCAGGCGCCGTTGCAAAACGGAGCGAGAATGATTATTTTGGCAACCACCGTGATTACTTTGGTGCCTCATCCTCGCTGATGGTCGGCACCGATACGCTCCGGCGGCGCTTGATGGAAGTGCTCGAATCTTCTATGGCGTCTTCGCTGCACGGGATCACCAATGCTGTGCAGCTCGAGCTCGAAGAGGCTACCTACCAATTCAAAGTCCAATACAACGACCGGCGCATCACCGCCGAGTCGTACGTTGCCGAGACAGTGGACATGCTGAAGTCTCGGTTCAAAGACTTCACCACGCAATTCCGGAAGCCGCAAGTCCGTGAGAAGCTGAAGATGATGCTAGACGAGAAGGTGATGGATGTGATGGAGCAGCTGTATTGGCTAGACAAGCGGACGCCGGAGCTGAGCGCACTTGCTGCGGACTCGAAGGTGAAGCCTCAGGATGTGGAGCCGTATTGGCGACATAAACTTGATGCGGCATCTTCCTTGCTCACGAAATCTGGCGTTGGCCGCGACTCCACTCTTCTCGTTGCTGACGGCTTGCGTGCTCTGATTGATTCGATCGTCTCCGGAGACCCTTTCACCTACCACCCTCGAGCGGCTGAAAGGCTGGTGCAGTTCTCGCATATGATATTGCGGGAGCGTATTGGTGTGACGTCGGACCAGGTAGAGAACTGCATCAAGCCGTTCAAGTACGAGGTAGACGTTGATGAGCGGGAGTGGGAGCAGGGACGTGGGCGTGCAGCGGAGCTATTTCAGAAGGAGCTCACGATGTGCGAGAGCAAGCTGAAGGAGATCAGGAAGAAGGTTGGCGGGAGTCGAAGACTTAATAACCTTCTAGGTTATGTCCGGGGCTTGGAGGAGAAGGCGAGAGAGAGGAAAAACAAACGGTTAGCAGGAGAAGAGGACGCGCAGGAGGAACCTGAGTCGTATCGGTATCCCCCAGGGCAAATTCTAGATGGTGAGATTCCATGATGGGTCGTTGGATCGTACGCTGATGATGCATTTACAGCCCGACATGCTATGTTGTACAGTGATAGGCTGTCCATTCTTAAGCTTCGCCTGGCCGCGCTCAAGTCAAAGCGGTGTAAAGCAGGCCCCGAGAGCGATGCACTATGTCCTGAAGTTTTCTTGAATGTGGTCGCCGACAAGCTCGCGCATACCTCCACTATGTTCATAAACATCGAATTGTTGGATCACTTCTTCGACCAGGTAAATTTATCAAATTAATGGTGAAACATGTACTGACTGTACGTTCAGCTCCCTCGAGGAATTGATTCACGTTTGATATATGACCTCGACCGGAAGGAGATCGAGGAGTTTGCTAGAGAGAACCCCGTTGTCAAGCGCCACCTCGACTTGCAAGGGCGTAAGGACAAACTTGAGGAGGTGAGTCTACCAACCGTTTTATTCACTCAATTGACTGATGACGTTGTCAGGTTATGAAACAGCTGAATAGCTTGTCCACTCTCCGGTCAGATACCCAACCCGCTCCACGTCGACAGCGTGGGCTTTTTGGAGGGATGTTCTGAGTTCATATGGACTTTCCACCTTTGTAACTTAGACGGTTATTTCACCTGTCTAAGACCAGGATTTTCATATACATAATAATCACCGCTCCACGTCTACACATTGCAGGTGCGCCAGGATGAAGGACAAAGACAACAAGAACTAAAAAGTCTAGAGCCTCGGCTTTAATTGCAGGAATATAATTGCTCACCTCAAGGACTGCGTCGAATTCCATAGCCAGCATCATATGATAATTATGACGCTTGATCTTCAGCTTGCCATCCTGGAAAGCTTTTTGACTGTTCCACTGTTATGCCACTTGTCATCTGAATCACCTCAACGTACGGTCCTCGCCCGAAGCAAGCTTTGAGAACGTGTCGTTTGTTATACGAAGTGTGATGCCCATTTCAGGAGACATCCAGATCAATCGTCCAGACCGCCTCCTCGCCATGGTCATTCGTTATCCGGAGTTTGAAGATGTCCTTGGTCTGTAATTGTTGCGTTAGATGAGTGATGTATGGTTCGCGGTACGCACTTTCTGTATTTGTGTTTGTCTCCGTACCTCGGTGAGGCCGTCTAATGCGCGTTTTAGGTCGATAATGATATCTGAGGCTCGGAGGGGTGTTCCCTTTGAGGTCAGTCATGGTAATGGAGGATGAGGACCAAAGATGGGTGCTGTCTTATGAGATCTCAAAAAACATCACCCATCTTTGGTTCCAAGATATCAGCACCTTTGCCTCGTGCTTCGGACGAACTGCGAACGTTGATCATCGTCACGGACGCCCAAAGACCTTGTCCTCGTCAGATGTCGAATTTTCTGAATATCTGCGCGGAGTCGTGACTACTTACTATTTCGTTTTTGAAACCCGACGTGCTACGCCCAGCGTTCGTACCTGCGTGTGCGTTTGTTTAATATGACAGAAAGTTATTGAAACCTATACCCTAACGACGACGAGTGCCGCTTGACCGACACCCTGAGCCATAGTCAACCGGTCAATTTTGGTGATCATGCTTTTTGTTCATAGGACCGGTTATGGTCAGCATGTTCGGCTCCGGTTAACCGCAATTCTGTGCAGGTATTGAATTGAAAAACAATCGTTATTAGTCTATGCTTCCGTAGCTTGTGGCTGACAGGGGATGAGTGAAGACAAGTCTCTTTACCGGTGAGATACCGGTGATTGTTAAGAGGTTGCAATCATCTGTACTTGACGTGCATCCCGGGAGAGGCAACGATGCGTGTCACTTCCGCATCATTAACATAGTATGGTCCTCACTGAGGCCTGAGGAGGGAGTGACTTGGGGATTTTGTCGACGAAGAACGCAAGTCTTGGGAGATTTTTCTTATTGGTACCTGCCGTTGATCAAATTGATGTTCAGAATCATAGCACAATCGTCCGAGCGACAGTGGTGATTGAGCGGAAGTGGGTTATTGAAGTAGGCGACTGTGTGACATCTCGGGACCTGGAAGACTCGGACAAGGACAAAAGAGCGGATAAATATGTGACGGTACTCAACGTTCACTACTGACGTGGGCTCCTTACCTTCCAAGCTCAGAGCTTCAGATAGATAAGCTACACGATTTTCATACATGAATAATTATAATCACCACTCTACGTGGAAGGATGGTATCCACGATACAAGTTACAAGTATAAGCAAGAGGAATAAAAGTCTAGAGTTTTGCCTTGCCCTTGGCCATCTAGGGAACGAGTCAGTCGTGGCTTGAATTATTAGGAATATAATTGTTCACCTCAAGGACAGCGCCAAGTTTGGTGGCCAACATAATATTACCCTTGGTCTTCAGCTTGCCAGTGAGGAAAGCTTTCTGACCATCCAGCTGTCATGCCATGTGTTAGTGATTCATATATTGACCGCTTATAGTACGAACCTTGCCCGAAGAAAGCTGCGAGAACGTGTCGTCCGTCATGATGAGTGTGACGTCTGCTTTGGGCGAGGCGGGTCCTTTGAGGATGACGCCATTCTTTTTGAGGTCAATCGTCCAGATGGCTTCCTGCTTTTCGCTATTCGTTATCCGGAGCTCGAATATGCCCTTGGTCTGTAATATATTGGGTTAGATGATACCAGAATCTGGTGTACGGTACGCACTTTCTTTACTTGAGCAGTTCTCTCTGCATCGGTGAAACCGTCGAATGCGCGGTTAAGGTCGAAAATAATATCTGAGGCCTAGTTCCAAGTCAGTATGCGAAGAGGACAACTAAAAGAAATTTTATAGTGACCTTGAAGCCGTCAACTTTGAGGTCGGACATGGTGATGGTACGAAAGGTGAATGTGTAACGTTTAGCGCTTAGCGCTGTCAATAGTCACTAGTCATTTATCATATGAAACTTGTCACGCCGTTTCAAAGCAACCTTGCTTAAGTGGCAATTGCACCCGAACTTTCGTGACGAACCCCACTTGAATAAATATATATGCGGTGGAGATAACATAGTACTTTATAAGAACACCCTAGTCGTAGAATCCTTGCAAACAAGTGCTTACTAATTGAGTGAGCGCGCCAGATGTGCGTGTCGCGTCTCGATATCATCTTCGCTCACTCGAGTCTTTTCTCACCAACACCCCTGATAGTGTTCTGGTACTTGGGTAGCGTCGTGCACCTGTTTTTCGCCCCCATATACCTCACACTCGAGGTTATTTCGGTCTGACCCTTGTGGTCTAGTTGTCTTTGACTTCTTCCGCTGCCCGGAACTATCCCAAAGGACTTCACGCATCTGATGTGTTCTATCGCGTCACATCTGATATATGTCTTCAGATCACGTGACTTGCATTCAAAACACCCGTGTCTACTAACCTCGAAGTCCCAGAGCCTCAGATAGCGTCGTTATCCGCACAGGACCCATTGGAAGTCTGCTCAAGACTCACTTCTCGGCTAAAGCCGATCAGCTAGACCGAAAATCCCTCCCCCCAACTTACGAAAGTCGCACCTCGTCTTCACTGTGTTTTACTTGGCCTTGGAAGCCCACAGAATAAAACCCGTCGCAAGCAAGCGCCTGATATTGTTTAGAGCACACAAAGTGGTTAGCTCACGTGAGACATTCGCTCAACCACATTGTGTCTCACATCTCTAGCTAAAACGAAGTCATAGTAAGCATATATGTCATGCAAAGTATAATACATGAACCTATGCAAGGTGAATCCGATTAATGGATCAAGCTTCAAGCTGGTTCGAAACGTGTTGAACAAAGTATAAAGCAACTGAAAAGTTAGAAGGCAAGTATAAGCTGTGCCACAATCCAGGAAAGGGAATTGTAAGACATACGGTTTACACACCGCTTGCCTCGCTACATTCCTCGCTCCGTCCCTTTCGTCGCCGCCGCCAACGACGATCAAGTACTCTTCGATATCGTCTTTCACGACTATGAAATACATAGAGTTTCCTGAGTTATCACGCCTCTCGCAGGCGCTTACACACGAGGGCCCCGAATGCTCCGTGCATACTCGCATTGAAGCATATAGCTGCAAGAATATCAAACGCGACAAGAAACTATTCAAGTCCCTCGAACACGCCTACAATGATGAACTCTCCCATTCCCCACCATTTCCTTCATGGCTTGACCGCGAGCCTGAGCTCACCCCTTTTGGCCCTATGGATAAGCAAGCGTCCCGCAAGACCCTTTACCTTCTCATAGCCACTCTCAACATTGCCTTCCCTGACCATGAATTCTCAGATGTGCGACCCGCCCACTTTAACAAGGAGAAGAATGGCGCGAGCGTGCTTAATTCACTCAGCACCACCCTTCTCTCTCCTCACCGTGCCGGCGTGAGTGCTCCACGCACGTACTCTGCCTATCCTCCCACGTCCTCCACTTTCTTCCCTTCTTCTGTGCCAACCACCTCTTCGTCACCTCTACACCACATGGTGTCGAGCCCTCACGCACCTCCGCAGATAGTTTCTGGTACACACCCAACATTGTATCGCATAGTGGATGAGGTCATTGGTCTGGCAGATTGTCAAGTCTTCTCATATTCCCCAGATATCGACTCTGACCCCCATGCCAACGACTCTGACGACGAAGATGATGTCGCATCTGTTGCTGATGAGGACTCGTCCGACGACCCAGACGATGAACCCACTTTTGAGTTTGATGACTATGACGTCGACGACTTCTTCCCAGATCCTAGCAGCTTGCGACCCACTTCCGTGTCCCTCCGACACCGAATACCCTTCCGGCACAACAGCGGGAGCACCAGTAGTGGTGAATCGCCCGAGCGGAGTACCTTTGCCCATGTGCGGTTAAAACGCCGCTGTGGTGCATTGTTGTGGTCATCGCACTGGTTTTTCCTAACCCTAAGCTGAAACGAATATTATTCATCTCCGTCTGGGCGCACACGAAGAACGCGCAAATGAGATGGGATGACGAAGAGTGGTCCGGGATAGGAATGGACAGTGAAAGCTACAGTAACGCTGGCTCTGCACCGAAGAATGAACGCTTCTTTGGATGGGAAGGTGGTGTCGGGGCAGGAGCCCGTGCGATGGGTCTCAGCTCATCTTTTTGATTGGTGAGGCCCTATACTGGCAGGATTCCTGACTAGCGCTCATCCTTCAGTCAGCATCCCCATGCTTGCTCGATTGACCCTTGAACATGTCCTTACCAGTTTCTTTTCCGACCTTCTTGTGATACGAGTTTTGGTCATCAACTGGCCTTTGAGTCTCATCAGCAGCCTTTGATGCCCTGTACGATATTGTCGTTTACGTTAGCTTCTGCATGCACGGCTCGAATGAGTCAGTGGATTCGCATACTATGCTCCTTACTTTATGGTTTTATGCTGCCGCGGTGCTGGCGAGTGTGTAGTTTGTATCAGTATTTATGACCTAGATTCTTGATGCCCTCCTGGCTGATTTGAGTAGCAAGAGCTTAGAAGCAAGAATGAGATGCGAAAATGGGGTATAGGGTATGAGTCAGGGTCGGACTCCAAGAGTGACTCGGTAGGGTTAGCTAACACATCCACATCACCTTACGCCTCACAAGCAGCTCGCACTTCAGTACTAAGTACTCAGTGTTCATACCCTTATAAGGTAGCCTGGAAAGTAGATAGGTTGATCAGTCAATAGTCGAATAGAAGGAGGTCCGCACTTTGTGAGTCTGATGATGTTCGCAGGTCATCCTCAGTCTTCAAACATCACAGATCTGTCCAACCAGTCTAAACCCCACCACATCGCGCAGAGTCGCGATCCGCCCTACCACTGCACGCGTCCTCCGAGTCTCAGATCGCATCTGTGAGATATCCCGTCGTCACAATTAAACATAACTGGATACGATGACAAGAACGACGTGAGCGATGAAAAAGTTATGAAGAAATCGATCAGGAATACGATTGTGATTTTGTGAAGGGGTTCGCTAAATTTTGGTGAGTTCATAGATATGCGCATGCTCAATCGGGAAGGTGCTCGAGGTCGGGGAGCGGAAGCAAATGTCATTCCGTTTGGCAGGGGGTCGTGACCCCCTGTAACAAAATGGTTATTGTACGGCGTTCATCAAGACATCTAGGTAGATATAGATACTGTCCGTTACTACTCTGACCTTTGAGCTCTATGGCAGAGCGGTTCGTACTGCGGAATGTGGTTTACGCAAATCAGTCGTTAGTGACATACGGTTGTTTTTGAATTAATTATTATTCGCAGACACCTCAGCGTTCCCCCACTGGTGCTTACGGAAGTAGTCTGCATATGCCACGCCATTTGAACGACTCCGAGTGTCCCGCAATGCACAAACATGCATGAATGGTACACGGTCGACTCAGATTTAGACTATCATCAAACATGCCCTTGTAGAAAGGTGTAACTGCAAGACGCTGCTAGAGACATATTATCGTAAGAGTCCAGCTGACGGCGTGCAAGCGAACCGCTGAGGTGCAAATAAGACGACGAAACACAGTTATAAGGTATTAAGTACTGAGTCCGAGATGAAAGAAGAAACGAGAATGAAAACTAACAGTGTCGACGTTGTAGTCCAGCAGCCCTGGGTAGTGTCGTATCTGCCTGCAATGTGATATACCACCAGCCCCTTGTCTCATGCAAAGAGTTTAAAATTCGGATCCCGCTACTACTTCGAGGGAAGGAAAAAGAACAGCGTATTCCGCACGCTGCCCGGCCGTCATCACACTTCGATAACCGTTGACATTCAGGCTCTCCAGCGGACACTTTGACCGTACTAGGAATGCCTTGAATTCCTCATGAGGCCACGTCCGTACATAGCCAGCTTCAAATACCCGTAAATTGGGTAGAGTGAGAGCATCGAACAGGCCAGTCAAAGGGCGCGTGACCAAAGTGACAGGACTGGTGCGTAAGGACCGAATTTCGGTGTGCGTGAATGGCTCCAAGGTTCGTATTTGGTCAAAATCTGCGCGAACCGTTAACGAGGATAGGTTGGGGCATAGCTGGAGCAAGTGGAGGAATACATTCGGATGAACTATGTTGATCTCGACATTTGTGAGGTGGGCCCATACGGCATTGAGAGAAGATAAGTGCTCGACGTCGAACCACGACTCCATAACATGGAGACTCCGCAGAGTGGACGGGAGTCGCGAGATGGATTGTGCAATAGATGGAATGTGGTGGATCCCCGCTATGGTCAGCTCCTGAAGTGCTGGGAGGTCATTTAACAGAAGTTCGGGTTGATCCGGTGTTCTGGAAAATTTGATGGAGAGAGACGAAATTTGATTGATATAAGGCTGGAGAAGGCTTTTCAGCTTGGTCGAGTCATTTGCGTGACAGTCGAGTTCCAACGAGAGCGGATATCCTCGCGATCGCTTGAGCCACGAGTCATAGAAGAAAGTTGCCCGCTGCAAGTCGCGGTCTTTGATATACAACCTGCACCATAAATTGGGCACGCCCACAGCAACCTCCCTCCATCCTCGGCATATTCTTGTCAGCAGCATGATGCAGGCCAGGTTTGATGCGGGCGACAAGCACCCGGCTTCCGGGAGACAGTGAACGAAAATGTGGGATAGAACTTCTGTTGGAATGCGCCAGAGAACCGATACGAGTCCCTTGTGCAAATCCATGGACTGGGTGATGCTGTCCTTCTTTTCGACGAGTTGCTGACGAACATTCTTAACACCATCCATCACGGTTTCCAGGCCTGATATTTCGTGCAGAACTGCATTCACCTGCTGCTGGCGCTCGGTGATGATGGCGTCAATAAGGCTTTGGCCTTCGGGAATGGTAGACTGATCGGTATTGGGGAACCTGGAGTATGGGGTTTCAAGATCTGGAATCTGATCATTATCAATAAAATAACCTCCGACATATATATGGGGAGGGACATACGATCACTTGTGAACGTGCGAGCTGAAGCGAAGGAATATTATTACATTCAGACGCGAGTGCCTTAACACTGGGCACTTGCACTTACGATGTTTTGCAGTGCACCGATGATGTCCGAGACATGGGGAAGAGATTCTTTTGAATTTGCTGTCGTCCCCTCAATTGCCTGCATGTTGTTTGTTAACGCGATGGATGAAAGGTTTGAGGGAAATGAACTTTGAAGACAAAAGGCGTTTGTACGAGTCTAGAATGAAGTCAAGTCAACGAGTGGGGAAACTAACGCTATATTAGCAAGTACCTAAAACGAGTCAACTAGCATCAATTAGTACGAGTCAAGCGTGTAGTACTGAGCTAGAACATACCTCAGCGAGTGGGGAAACAAATGCTTCAGGTTGGAACTACGATGAGAGACCCATTAAGAGTGGAGACGAAGCGACGATTAAGGAAAACGAGAAGCGGTTGGGGTACTGGTGGCTAAGATACCCCGGTAGAGCCATGTGGTGTAGAAGGTGCAACACAAGAAGCAAGATAAGGTGCGCTAATATGACCATTGCATCCACTACGGAGTCATGCTGTGCGGTGCATTTGCAATTCGGTGCTCCGATGATGATTCCGTGCCTACTCTAGATCGCGGTAACCTTCCTGCCATTTTCACTTTCAGTGGAGATGCTGCATCCGTTAACTTACATCATCCACTGCGTCAAATGCATTAAGTCAATATTGCTCCTGCTATGACAGATGACGGTCGCAGTACTCAATAGTTGCCAACGTCTCACTGTCGCTTGCACCATTCTCGACTTCCGCACAGATTTCCTTGCGCAGTGCGTACCGACAACTCTACATATAGCACGTGCGCCGTCATATAACACCTTAGCTCTTTTCTCCCCATCCAACAAAAACTGACTCACCGAGATTCTGCCAATATAATACACCAAGGATTGTTATCATGATCTCATCTGTACCGACCGAAGGTCTTGGTTTGTTATCATTCAATAATATCGATATCCGCTACTCCCATGGTAGTGGTAGTTCGAGAGTTCGAGGCTGGTAAGAGTCTGCGACGCGTGAAGCCCGACGAATCATCACCTTGTGAAACAATGTGTAACCCCTTGGTGTTGTGCAAAGCTTTACGACGTTTGGGACCGTGGCACTAATGAAACTTCGAGGGAAGGAATAAGGGCGATGTAATCTGCTCGCTGCTCATCTTCACTCTAGAATCCAAGATCAGGGTCTCCAGGGGACAGCTCGACTGTGCCAAGAATGCCTTGAACTCCTCATGAGGCCATGCTCGAACACCGCAAGTTTCAAGTACGCAGTAAATTGGGGAGTGACAGATCATTGAACGCGTAAGATAGTACTAGTTCTCCCATGTCCCTGGATGCAAGTTTGGTGTGAGTGAATAGCTCAAAGACCTCCATTCGAAGGCAGGAGTGTATGCGAACTGTCAACGAGGAGAGGTTGGGAACCTAGCTAGCTGGAGGGATGATGTATGAAGATCTCTACATTTATCAGGTGGGCCTCAGTGTCCTCGACCGCGAATGACACCCGCATAAGCGTGGCATTTTTCAGTAGGGTTTATCACGTGTACTTTCAAAGTTTTTAAGCTTTCTTCTCTCAACCACCAACATCAACACTTAGGGACAGCAATAATGGATGACGGTACGTTTTCAGCATCAGTCCCAAACGACGACAGTCAATTCTGTATTCAATATTTTCTTCTGTTCCGGCACAACCGCTTCGTACACACCAGCACTATTTTTCTCGCCTGTCTCATTCCGTTCTTGAAGTCAGATGTCACTTCACCACCAAATATCGGTTCAAGGCTGATAACCGCCTGCCTACCTATATAAAAAAACTGATGCGCAACTCGAGCTCTCTCGACTTCTCATACATAATGCGCCCTCAGTCATTCGTTCGCGTGCTATATAATACGCATGCGACGCAGTATAATCGCCCATTCCTCCTCCACCATTCTACCCGCCGCCATGAATCGATATTGATCTTCTTTTCACCCTTTCCGCCCATTCAGCCTGGCAATCACAAGATATTGCACCTTCAGGGATTAGCATTCCCACGCGCGAGTCCAATATGAATGCCGGACCTGCTGGTAGGGATGAGCAGAGTTGGAATGGGAGTGCTCGCTCGCCCGGTAGGGACCGTGGGGGTGATCCTCCCAGGCGCTCTAGCCGCAGCAGGAGTCCGGTACGGGACGATAGAGGGTGAGTGGTGTTAGTGTCTTGTCATTCTTCATACTGATCATGTTGGTAGTCGGGGTGGCGGTGGTGGCGGTGGTCACAACCCTGGAAACAATCTTCACGTTTCAAACTTGAGCCACCGTGTTGATACCCGTGACCTTGAGCATGCGTTTACTAAAATTGGCCGTGTGCGTGTCGTGCCATTTTGTGGAGTCTGCGTACTGAACCATTTGAAATAGGTCAAGAAGGCCTCGGTCATGTACGACCCGCATACCCGCGAGTCTCGTGGGTTCGGATTTGTCACCATGGAGACTTCTGAGGAGGCGGATGCTGCCATCACCGCGCTCAATGCGACTGAACTCATGGGGAAGACTGTCACCGTAGAAAAGGTACACCGCACTCTTTGGGATTTTACCAACGTTTGTTCATTCGGTTCTTAGGCTCGTCGCGGACGTGCGCGTACCCCGACGCCTGGGAGGTTTCACGGTCCTCCAAAGCGCAATGACAGTGAGTGTTACCAGAGTATCATTTGCGCGCTCACTCAGCTCTCGAATAGATGAGCGCCCGTACGACCCGCGTCCTTACGATAGCCGTTACTCCCGTGATTACGATGATCGCCGTCGTGGTGGAGGAGGTCGTCCTGATGATCACCGGGGAGGTGGTAGGGACCACGATCGTGGTGGCCACCGTGACAATGACCGCGGATACGGCGGAGGTGGAGGCGGAGGCGGCGGTCGTGACTATGATCGTGGTGGCCGCAATTACGATAGGAGACACTAAATGTACCTGTTCTGAACTCGGACCGACTATCTTTGCGTTGCGTTTTGCTTTCGTTTTTGTTCCATGTATTCCATAAGTAACTTGTTCGTGGTGAATTAAACTTGTTGCATGATGGACCATGTGTATACATGATGATTATTATCGGACGGGCTTTCAGAATAAGTAGTGCGAAAAATCAAAAGCCGGTAGCAGGGGTATGTACTTACCTTCCGCATGCCGATGAAAGAGTCGATTCATTTCGAACCGAGCTTGCAAAATTTCAATACCCATTTCCAACGCATCTCTGAAATGGCCGATATGATCAAGTAGCGCCTCCAGTGAAGGTGTTGGCCACCTTGAATTCACCAGGATTTCATACTAAATTGCAATGGAGGTATGTGCATATGTTCAGAGAGTCTATTTACCCCGCAATTGCAAGAATCGAGGAGGTAAACAATTTCTGTTGACCTACACTACTCCAGCTGCTCGGGTGGGTAGATTTTTTCGGGGCAATACTCATCCCATATCAAATACGTCCAACAACGCATCATGTTCGTCAAACATAGAATACGTGAGTACTAATATTTATTGACAGGCAACAGAGGGATATCAGTCCAAGCGGATAGGAACATCGACATCGTCCTTGACCCAGATACAACCATCGTCACGCATCCTAAACATGGAGCCATCCACCCACCGCCTCCAAGCTATCCGATACGCCTTCTCCAAGTTCCTCGTCCATCGCTCCGTATCAAACAAGGGCATGGTATCTCTGTTGAGGAAAAGACACCGTCGCAAGTCAAGCAGGTCTCCACTTGCTTCCACATCGCCATTAGGTTGCACTGTGTAATGCATGCTGTTCCCTAGGGCCACCGCGCGTTCTTCGTATTCTTCCCTACTGGACACCACCATGTACTCGCCAAACCCCGTAGCACTGGCCAAGCTCGCAGCTACCCTAGAAGACATCTTATGCCGATGACTCGGCCAGGCGCAAGCGATCAATGGCGTGCTCGACCAGAGCACGCTGGATGACCGACAGTTAATTTCAACCTTGCGGCGTGTGCAACAACTCACTCGGCTGCTACAGTATGCGCGCTACACTACATGGACAAGTCAGCTTCGTACAACGAGCATTGATCACCAAAGACTCACTTCGGACGTGTCAAGAAAAAGATCCGGAACTCGGCATCGGTAGATGTGATGGTCTTTCGCAGTCACATCCGTGAATCTGATGCGTGACGCTATCTCGTCGCTTGCCCACGCCTTGGCAGTTTGAATTAGGTGGGCTTCCCCAGCAGAAGGAAATCGCAGTAACCAAAGAATGCTATGTGGAACACGGGCTAAAATGCGAAGCCATGTTGCAAATATGTCCTGATACGAAGTCAGCGACCAGTTTACGAGATCAAATACTACTAGAGACTCACAGGATCGATCTGTCGAGTCGCGGTCTGTCAGTGGTTCGTGTATCATAAAAATGCAGTTCAAACCTTGTACAGCTTTATAGCCAAAGCATAAGTCAACTACGGCAGTGAAGGACCATAAACAGGGCACGTACTTGATTGAAATTGGCGAAAATGATGACATCTCTGGAATAAGGATGACTATGAGGGGCCGTAAGAAGTGGTAGCACCACCTACAAGGGTAAATCAGGAAACAAGGCTCGTCTCAGGTCCGTCCTACGTTTGATTTCATCGTTCCAGAGTGTTTTCGCTGGCGTCCGAGTACGCTCCTCGACCGAAAGACCTTCGTGTCGATAAGACTGTTTGTGGTCGGTGACAAAATATGTGTGCTAACGAAAGATAGTTAAAGATGCCTAGGCAACAGTAAAACAACTGACTGGCATATATATTGGACACTCCGTGCTGAACACACGTTAGCCTCGATCTGATCTGGGTGTTTGAAAGGACGTACTAGATCCAATCAGGAGAGGGTGATTCTGGATCACCCTCCTCTCCTACTGCAACACCGAAATCACTGTTCTGGCAGCATTGATTCTGGCTTCGCTTCCGATATGATTGAACCCGTGCAAATAGGTCGACAGGACATGTGATGCTATCGCACACGAGATAGTCGCACCAGCCTGAACAAAATAGCAAGCCAGGGTAGCAAAGATCAGGATTGTATGTGGCAAAAACTCACTGGCTGCTAGGGTTCCAGCATAACCCATTAACGAGACCTGAATGGGACTTGGTCTTGCAGCGAAGATTTCGTTCCTCGCTCCCTTGGTATACCCACCCAGGTCAACAACTATGCCGTTTATCAGCAAAACGTGCTTAGGGAGGTATGATGACATACGGATATGTATGTGATCCTCCTCGATTCTATTGACGATGTCTACATTTGACCAAGAAGAGACATCGAGAAAGTTGAAGTCGCCCTGCTCAAAGTACATTCGGAAGACCGACCCATCTGACGGGCTCGTCGCATAGAGGAAAATGCAGAACCGGTTCCGGTTGTGCAGCTGAAAAACCGATTTCATCAGATGGCTTAAGGGATGGTCACTGCGCTAGGTCAGTATCACCATGAGAAACAAAGTATCGGCTAGATGTACCTAAAGTCGCTGGACACATAACCGACATTAATGCACCGGTTTAACGGAGGCGGCGGCGGCAGTGGCACTTTGTCTGGCGATATCTGTGTCATTATAGTATGTGACGCACGAAGGGCATTTCGGTGTGCAATGCGTCGAATGGTACGACTGGGCAATGGAAGCGTGAACTTGATGAGAATACGTGAGCCCAAAAAGACATATTGATGTGAACCTAACATACTGTATGAAAAGGGAGTAAGGTCGGAACCCTCTGTAAGGACACTGAGGAAAGGACAAGGCCGAACGGCCTCGCAGCAGGAGCTGCATCCGGTGCAGAAGCCGACACCTCTTCGCAGTAGAGTGTTTCTCCGTAGGTTTCAAGGTAACGTCGGTGTTGCATCCTAGTCCGGTACCAGTCGATAAGGCGCACAAGGAAACTTCCTTCGTTAAGGAGAGGTTGTCGCCCATCAGAAACATTTGCAAAAAGGCAAAACCGGTGAACCCATTTTCTTAAGTTGTGGTCACATTGTGGTCTCGCTGTAGCCAACGCCACGATAAGAAGCCAGGCATCAACACTCTTCTCGGCGAGGACGCCAATGTTCTGGCGATGAAGTTCCGAAAGGTGCTCTTCACATATCGTTATTACGCTCGTCAACCAACGGTCTACAGAGCGTTGAGGTGGTAATTAGCGCTAGAAGGTCAAAAATTACCTCGGCCGGTCCAATTGCAGATAGCATTCATCGACATGCTCAATCCACAGTAGGCGTCTACCAGGCTCGGATTGATAGTTACAGCCTTGATGTAATAAGGAACTGCATCTGCAGAACGATTCTACGACACCAAAGACATTTTGATACAGCTAGCTAGCATGGGAAGGAGAAATGCCTACCATATCCTTTAGGGTATTTGCCATGTTGACAAGAGCAATGTCTAATTCAGGGTGTAGTTGCAGAGCGTAGTTGAAAACTCTGTCATTTTCTATGTGTATATAAGTCTCAACTGATGGCGGTACGACTCACCCAATTGCAGTAGGTAGGATGGCCGGCGTCTTTCAGCAACGAGCCGAAATTTGAAAGTAGATGAGGATGCGTGGAATCGATTTGCAATCCTTTCTCGTAGTAAAGGCGGGCAACATCCCTTCCAGATGCGACTTGTGGAGTATTGGTGGCTGCACTGCTGCTCAGGCTGCACAGGACGACACCAGTATCATTGAATGCAGAGGCACTTGGAAACAATGATAGCGCAAGATAGTGAAGCAGGAGAATCAGCCCATTCTTGGAACAGTGCGGAATATCAAGCCCGAGGTCAGCGATCGATGCGCCCTCCTGGATGCGCCGTGCAAGGGTGAGTAACGCTGATGAGGTTGCAGTCTTCACTTGGTATGTTGATTGACTGGAGTGAAGCACAGCCCACATATCAGAAGTGATACGCGGGGAAGCGAAAACGACGGCCGACAACATCTGCGCCTGGTCTGGGAATAGCACCACATTCGGCAATGTTCCGGTAGTGGGATCCAGCATAGCATTAATGAAATCGTCACTGGCATCATGGACTGCGTGCACCAGCGCCAAGCTGGTGGCTTCGAAACGTGGAAGATGGTTGGTGCTAGCATGATCTTGGATTGCGTCCAGAATATTATTCGGTTCTGGCGATGGCGGTAGTGTGGAAAATGCAAATGATGCAAACCAGCTGGCAAGAATGATGTCTCGGAATGTCAACCTATTTCCCGAGGACAGCGGTGGTGAAAGACGGATACCCGCTTCAATCGCATTAACGTAATGGCGTAGAGTGGACGATGTGTTACCATCTACTTTTTGTTGGATGTTTGCGACGGATGTGAAGACATTCAGCAAGCGATGGGCATGCTGAGGGGTTACTGACGCAAGCAGTCTGTCGTTTGCCGCTTTCAAATGGGCACATAAATCACGGCAAAACAGTAACGCTTGCTCTGACAATGTCGGTAATATCATGAGTTCTGACAAAAGTGCATCCTGCTTGCCCACGTAATTAGAGAACCAAGAACTATATTAGCAACATACCAAGAAATCCCAGTCCGGGGGATCATTCTGCAGGCATGCAAGGAGGGTATTACTATTGGCGTTATAGGTTGTAGACCTCATCGTCAAGGAAGGTAGTCAAGTTGCGTTTCAAACGTTGAAAGACGCTTGTGGTGCAGAGCTCATTGGGACATTTCGCCCAATCAAAAAGAGGGTCATGACACAACCGCGCGTCTTGCGTAAGGCTTCCACCCAGATGTTTTCTTATGGTTCGACGTATTGTCCGCTGTGGGAGACTGTGGAGAACGAAGCCTCGGCATTTCGGCATCTGAAACGCATCTGTATATTCAGACGAATGATGGAAGAAACAGGCACCGCGAGCCTGGAAGCGTTACTTTCTTGGGCAGGAGATCGGCACCATTGGAATTAAGAGGAATCGCGATTTGGGGCTGCGCATATACCGTGTATGCCGAAGACAACGTGGGAGTAGAAACTGAAGACCTACAACGACATCTCGTCTACGCTCATCAACCTACGCTCATCGCCACATCTGCACCTGGTTTACCCACTTTGGGCTTTTTGGAGGTTTCTAGGACTTTGGTCTTCAGAGAGACCATCATAGCCCGGAAAGCTTCCTCGCCACCGGGGTAAACCTTTTCCAACGATCCGCAACAAAGGTCCGACTCCAAGGCGAGGTTCAGCAGTTCAATTAAGTGTCCGTTTATGGGATCAATGCTCAGTGCCTTTGCAGCGACGGTTAGGAATAAACCACACCAGAGACAGCAGCGTACCTCGTGATATTTGATAATTGCCTTGTCAATCTCTCCAAGGTGATGATATACCATGCCCAGATAACCAAGACCCTGAGGATGCTGGGGTTCAATTTCCAACACACGTTGATAGTTGGTCTTGGCCATCTCATAATTCCTGCAACAAGTGCGTCAGTTTGCACGCTCCCGAGCACCCTAGACTCACTTCAGCTTTCTATAGCAAGTTCCGAGATTGAGGTATGTTGTCGTCCATGATATCTGGGAGCTTTGAGTCACTTGAGCAAGTTCGAGCGAACGTTGGAAAAGATCCGCTGCTCGTTGGTAGCTGCTGATTCCATCAGCACGAGCCTCAGAAGATTCGCCTGGCACTGGGCTCACTCTCCGTGCGTGAACGCCATAACTCCCAATTCATTGATAAGAAGAGGGTCTCCATCACATGCGGCGTAAGCAGCGTTCAATGCTTCATCGGCTAGCAAATGATTGGATAGCATAATTTGCTCCATGCCTACAAATAGCAAAGGTAAATGGGAACTGAAGTTCTTCAGCACGCTATCATGACTCAGCTGATCGAAAGCAACCTCACCCTGTAAACATGCGAGCACAGGTTGAATATGCGGTGACAGCATGATCATGTTCGCCTTCCATTGCGAATGTATGGGCAAATGCGATCCATGCAGGTCCAAACCGTGGATCCATCAATGATGTTTTACTGTGGATATTTGACAGGCGTCCGAGGAAAGAAGACCTGATGGACTCACCTGAAATACTGTCGGGCTTGCGGCCATTTCCCAGACGCAAGATACCAAACTCCAACTGCATACCAGCTAATGGGATTCTCAGGCTCCCGTTCCACAAGTTCATGCGCCAAGATAAAGAGTTTTGAGTGAAGATGGTTAAGATGGTACATGCAAGCAATGTGCAGTGGCATGGTAGAATCGTGAATAGAAACCAGCCCCAATATTCTGCAAAGCCATTTGAGACATTTGAGATGGATTCAAGCTCGTGGCGACAGGCATCCTGACCTTGTCGTGATGGCATAACAGTCTGCCCAGCGGAATTGAGCATAGAGTGCATCCGCGAAACTGAATAGCACATCGGGATTATCAGACAGTCCAAATTCCTCGACTAGACGTCTCCGGGTCAGGGCATGCTCTTCTGCGTGTTTGTACTTTCGCAATTGAGAGGTGTATATGAGCTGCACAAAATCGGCGTCTTCTTGCGTTTGCTCCCTGTAAGCGAGACCTTGAACGAACTCCCATTCTACAGTAGTCAAATACCAGGTAATAAGCGATGATACTTGGGGGTCTAACCTTCGTCCAGAGTCATCATTTCGCCACTGACTAGTTGGTCGAATGCATCGTAACATTTGACATCCAAAGTTAATGCCTCCATGAAGCAAAGCTTTGCTTGGTCCCCACGATTCAGCTTGAGCATAAGTATGCCACGCAAATGGCACATGGAAGCTTCGACCTACATAAGCAAGCAAGGGTCAAACTCTGTGGTGAAAAATACACATCCGCTCACCTTGATACCACCATCAACATTCGGCACGGCGGGTCCACTCCTTGCTGAATGATCTATTAGTGGATGGCAAAAGCCGCGTACGATTGATATCAACCTGAATGACGGAATGGATTCGCTTCGCCGAGCATCTCTGTCGCATCTGTCCAATTCCCTTGCCGCACCTGACACTGCGCAGCAAGATATCTGCACGCTACGCTCATGTCCACAAGCCTTGATACCGAATCCTGTAACTCTTCAGGAACTTGCATCAGGCCAGCGTCACCCATAGGAAGTTGAGGCATTAGCCTTGTGTGAGGGTGTTCCTCCTTCCCTTTTCCTTTTGTGTCTGCAGTTAGACTACCCATTGTAGTGTCGTCCGCTACCCCGCGTTCAAGGCCATTCAAGGTCACGTTTTGCACTTTTGGTGTCATAGCAGGAAAGGGCCTAGTCAACAGTCTCTCAGCACGCGCGTACTGATGAGTCATAAAGTAAGTCTGAGCAAGCCAAAACGCGTCATTTGGGTCATCTGCGCGTCACGGGGGGTGGATGAATGAGAGAGAATAATGAGAGTGATGGCAATCATCGAAGCAGCGCGACTTACTGGTCCATGACAGTATCTTGTCTCCCCAAAAGGCAGCAGTTTCATAGAGATGCTGCATCAATGCATCGTGCCGCCACAGCCTCATCCGGTCAATCATCCCCCACTCGCCATCCCCGTTGTCAGATTCCATCTCAGTATCCTGAAAAACATCCATAGAGTCATTTGCAAGGGGATGGCGGCCCATGCTCTCCTTCGCTCGCCGGTATCTCCGAAGCGAGGACCTTGGAGAGCTTGGAAGCATAGAACGATTCGGATCAAGTGCAATGGGTCGAGAATGCGTGGAGCCACTCATATCCGCTGCAGGGAACGAAGAAATCATCGGTTGCGGGCCAAACGAAAAGGATGATCCTATTGACATCCGATTACGAGAACTTGCTGTCGATGGCAGATGAGGTATTGGCGGGACAACAAAAGCGCCAACAGGCGGGGGAGTTGAGGTCATGCTACAGTCAATATCAATCACTGACTCAGTGACTGGTCTAAGTTAACCACAAGGCCACAACGAAGGGCAAGGTGTGCTTACGTAAGAAACATGTGCTAAGTTTGAAGTCAGCCCCTTGATCAGATTCAATGAATCTTCGCGATTGCGATCTATTGCGATCCCCTTCGAAATAACCATCAATATGGTCCTGCTTCTACCTTCCGTGTGACCGTCTTGTAAATGCATGAATGCGCAACTCATGTTCTGCAACCAAACATCTACTACCCTGCTTCTCACTCTTCTAGCCATTTGAGTTTCCAATGCTATCACGCGTTGTATGGAATGATTGCAGACAGTTATTAATATCGAACATATAGGATGTTAGGCAGAGTAGTAACGCTCCTTGTGTTCAGATTGATTATGTAGTGTTTTGTCGTAAAACTTCCGTCTCATGTCGCATTCCGCGCGTCAATGCCAACAGGATATTCTCGATACGAGCCTGACGGTCCTGCACAAGGGTTTATTACCTCAAACCACCATGATGCTATGTTCACTCACTTGGAGCTCTTTCATCTCGTCCTTCAGTTTCCGGACCGGTAAATCACGACAGTCTTCTAACAGTACTTCAATTCGTTTGATGGAGGAGTCCAACCTATCCACATCCGCGATCTCAGATGCCGGTGGAGCAGATAACGGGAGGTTTAAACGTTGCGAGTATAGCCTTGTGATTTGAGTGGACGTATTCAGGTGCAGGATCTTTCCCGTGCTTGATGGCTCTGATAACGGGGGCAATGCGCTGACCTTTCGAGTCCTGGGAGGTTGTGATTGTGACTTCTTTGAAAGTGAGATGAGACTGTTGCGACGCCGTAGTGCAGATACGGATGATGACCCGGTCTTCATTTCTATATGCAAGTGGCGACCGCAGACTGGACTCGTCCTCCTCCGAGTCATCAAAAAGACCAAAATCCCTGGAATCCTCTACCTCGAAAATCGCCTCGTACAGATCTGCTGATTTTGAGCCAACAAAATAATCGACAAAAGGCATATTCTTGATGTGCCTTGGGATGCTGTGATACAGACTGTGGGCAGCACCCTTGCCAGACTCACGCAGCCGCTGTTCAGAAGCTACGTGACGTTCATAGATGGCGATAGCGATCAAAACAGGGAATGACTGTGGTAAAAACGCGGCCAGATAAGTTCTGGCTTAGGAAAATACAATGACGCTTACTGTAAGTCTGATTAGGAACACGTTCGCAGAGTGCAAAGAGCGAGGCGAAAGGATGTAACTTGCAGGTTTGAGTATGATGAAGGCGAGAACATTGAAAGGAGGCTGGTAGCTGAATAGAGCATCTGATTTTACGCTGGCGAAAAATTTAGCTAGTGCATCACGCTTTCAAGCATCATTGCAGGCGACTTACCCCTGGATGGTCGATATAGAGCATTGGAAAAGAAACTTCACACCGGATTAGACAACTGATCTACTGACCGACATTCAGTGGTCCCCTTACCTCTTGGGTAGCATTCTGAGAATGTAATGTTATTGGAGTGCAGGATCAGCGACTTGGCGACTCACTTACCGCATCAATTCGAGCAGCGGTATTTGACAAAATACAGATGAGAACTAGCATGTCAACTCAACAACGACCCTGTCATGATTAATAGTGAGCACGCACTAGTCAAGAGAAGGGTGCCTGACAGCGCCGCGAAGCATGTCATTAAAATGGGACCGAATACCGGGTGGAAGCTGGTTGCTTGACCAAAACTGAGGTATGTGTTGCCGAACCAGATCTGAACCATCAACCAAGCAATACGGCGGATCGTCCATTTACCCGAAGCTATGAGAGAACGGTCAGTAGTTTCAATTTTGTGATGCAAGTAATTTACCCAAGGTATACAGGGTCAGCAGAATACCGGAGAAACAAACCGCCGCTATGGCGATGAAGAAAATAAATTCAGCTATCATTGCGCGCAATGCCCTTTTAGTAGAAATGTTAGCATGAATTACGACACGAAGAAAGTCACGATTCACAAAACAACAACGTTGTTGGATATTGCATAGAAAGCTAGCCTGTGAAAGAAATTCAGAGAGGCCATAATGTATAAGCGCTCCAGTCATACCGAGGGACAAGAACGCAACAGCCACAAGCCAGCAGGTCAAAAGCGAGCTGAGACACCTTTGCTAATAGCAATTTTCACTTGAGAGTCCCATGCACCATACTGGAGCGATGCAACTAACCGTCACCGTCCCATAGCCCCTTCATTCGCAAAAGCAGATAGCCAAGAAAGATTATGACAAACGATGTGTCAAAAACGTTCCATATCTAAAACAGCGGCTTCAGCCAGGGAGTGAACTCAAAGATGAGCTTACGTTGGCAATGTAAACTGCACAGGTACGTCAGAAATTCAAATGTGACAGTTGAACGTGTACTGACTAGTCCACCCGTACTCCTTAGAAGCCGTGTATTCTTGTAGTGTAAAGGAAACTGCAAAACCCAAGAATACAGACTCCCACAGGGTCACATGGGAGACATCCTGCGCTGAAAAAAATGATTGGCTATATTGACCCACAGCTAAGCTGGGAAACGTACTCCATAAACATGCAAGGAAAATCATCAGAAGAACAGCAATGTTGACGAAGTGCAAGATTGCAGAATATCGTGGAACTCTCAATCTGACGATAGAGTGTGAGCTCGAGGTAGAAAGCACAAGTGTCTGGTGGACCTGTAATGATCAAGTACGGGCGCCGTACGTGGGTCGTACAACATGACCGCCTTTTGCTTGTAATTATCTGCCACCATCGATCTGTTGCCAGCGATGGAAACCACGATGCGCCCATTGTACATATCATTCACAACGCTCTGAACAAGCGGGGAAGCCAGGAAGATCTTTGCCTTCGTGGCGATTGCCATCTTATCGAAGGTTATTGAATGAATATATATATAACTGGAACTGACCTCAATGGCGCACTGAGGGTCATTGACATACTCGTCTTCCCCACCGATAGCGTCTTTTACCTCCTCGATCACATCGTCTGGTGCCCCTGTTAATGGACACCAGAGTGTCGTCAAAACAACTACCAACTGAATCTTGCTCGACGCAAAGTGGCTCAGAAGCTTCAATGCCATGATCTCACACAGGGTGGCGCGCGAAAACATCACCCCGGAGTGAGCCAAGTCTGAGCCTGACTGCGCTAAAAAGTATGAGCGAGTAACCATGCACGCGTACACTATAGCCATGTTCCTGAGCCTCGCATACTTCAGGACCAAGGGGCGCACTATGGCGAAATTGATGTCCGAGGCCGTGAGTTGCCTGCCATGAATAACTCAGACTGAGCTACCGTAAAATATAGCAACATTAACGCACTCCCAGCTAAGCGGACTATCTGAGACGCTCGTTAACCACGTGTATCAATAATGCAGGCATAACAAGAAATTCTCTCACCAACAGTGTTCTGCGCATGCATTGATGTCAACCAAAGCGTCAATCATAACACGTGCTTGAGCTTGAGTTATAGACTCACGATTACATCTTTCTTCAAGTAAGGAATAAGCGGGAACACTTTCACAGACGCCAAAAAGTCCTGGGAAGGAGCCAGCAACCCTTGAGCTATTTGCTCCTCTGCATCCATGTCGGCCAATCAAATTGCAGGCTCCTTAGTTGGTAAAAAAAAAGTAGTTCCTCCCGAGCGTCCTGATCGCTCACGCGGGTTATCAACTCGGAAGGTGGCTTGAACACCAAGCAAATCGTCAGGTCCCAGAGGATTAAGTACGTGAACAAACGTCCAGGAGAATAATATTACGAGTCGTTATTATTTATGCCGTAAATATTATAATAATAGTTATCCAGAGTCCAATGGTTCCTTATCGAGATACAAAGTCTCCAAGTGAGCAATATCCTTTTGTTTTTTTTTCTTTCAATAAAGTTCCCTAAAATCCTCTGCCGCTCGTTAACCTTCAACGCTATCCTGTGATGAGCCATGGGATGCTGTTTTTCTGAACCTGTGGATTTTGATTCTGAAGTTAATCTCTTTCATTTCGACCTCCATAGAGCAGTGGGTAAAGGCGCTTTCGGCAAGGTCGGCCATCTTTGTTTCCTTCTTTCACCCTTTGTATGGCTACTCATAAACCAGTGACTGTTTAGGTCAGGGTAGTTGAACATAAGCGTTCCAAGAAGCTTTATGCACTCAAATACATTGATAAAGCGCGATGTATCAAGCAGAAGGCTGTGGCAAACATCATACAGGAACGGAAACTACTGGAGGAGGTGCGTCGTGGCTTTATTTATTGCAGTTGCATGTTCAATTTCTCATGCTGATTTCTTTTTAGATCGACCACCCTTTCATAGTCAACTTGCGATACGCATTTCAGGATGATGAAAACTGTTTCTTCGTGCTCGACCTCATGCTGGGTGGAGACCTCCGATGTGAGTAAATCACAACCTTGTTGGTTTCTTGTGTTTCTAAATCGTGTTTTATGATCAGTCCATTTGGAAAGTAGAGGATGTTTGAGTGAGAATGTGGTCCGATTTTGGGCCGCAGAGCTGGCATCTGCTCTCGTTTATTTGCACAAACAGCGCATCATACACCGGTAAGGTTTTTCTGAGGCAGGGTACCTTCGTCATTAACTGGAGCCTCAGTGACCTCAAACCGGATAATATTGTGCTCGATGCACAGGGCCACGCACATATTACTGACTTCAATGTCGCCATCCATTATTCGGAGCGTCGGTTACACACTAGTGTCGCTGGGAGTATGGCTTACATGGCTCCCGAAGTCGTTGGAAGGAAAGGATACACATGGTGTGTCGATTGGTGGAGTTTCGGTATTACAATCTACGAGTTATTGTTCCGACGACGTCCATTTGATGGACGCACATCTGAGAAGATGACCAACTCTATCATCAAGGATCCTCTGAGGTTTCCCGATGACGCCAACAAGAAATGCAGCCCGAATTGCATGAAGTTTGTGCAAACAGTAAGGCCGATACTCTTCAGCATCCGTGTTTTGACCTCGTCACAGTTACTCGAACGTAATGTCAGTCAGCGTCTAGGTTGTCGACCAAAAGGTCAAGGCTTCCAGGACATCAAAAACCATGCATGGCTGCTGGGTGTAGATTGGGAAAGTATCAAAACGAAAGAAGCTCAGCCTCCTTTTGTTCCTGACGTAAGTGTTGCTGTGAATTTATAAGTCCACCTCATATTTACCCCCCTGCAGATGAAGAAAGCTAATTTCGATGTAACCCATGAACTCGACGAATTCCTAATGGTTGAAAAGCCACTGACCCACACGAAACGCAAGGCAAATCCGGACTTAGCCAAAATGAAGCCGGAATTTAGGCAGTTGGAAGAGCAGTAGGTTCAATATACAGGTTACGATGACATCTCTAACTGGCTATCGTCACTAGGTTCACCGTTTATGACTTCATGTCCACCCAGCGCAGGTCGTATTATCCTCATAATGAGCCCATCACTACAGTTGTACGGAGCTTGGACTCAGACCAAATTCCGGTCGTTCAATCGATATCAAACACTCTCCTTCCGACCACGACAATGGGCGAGAGATCTCAAGCCGGTTCTCCAGCTTTGGATATTACTTGGCATCAACATATGCCAATACCTCTTTAGCACATGGCTGTTTTTATCACCTTAATATCAACGGTCCGTCCTTGTCATCGCTGCTTGACTTGCGTCTAATTCGTGTTTGACTTTCCAGACGCCCAATGCGCACTTAATGTTGTATTTTCTAACCGAAGCATTCATGTCATTTATTTTTCCTGGAGACTTTGCATTAGCCAATTTACGCACATTCGCACTTATTCTCATTGTGATCATTCATGTAGTATATCATTGCTACCAGTGCTCTAGTCTGTTCCAGTGTGTCTGCATTCATTATGCATGATGGTTAATAGGGTTAGGGTTACGAATGAGGCTTCTAGTAAGAACGCGTCACTGCTCATCAACTGCTCGTCGCGACTTCACGTTCCACTACCAGTATCCAAGATGCCGCTCGAGGCTACTATGATCATCATCGACAACTCGGAATACATGCGCAATGGAGACTATATCCCGTCCCGCTTCGAAGCTCAGTCCGACGCTGTCAAGACCATCTTCCAGACCAAGATTGACTCAAATCCAGAGAACACCGTCGGCGTTATGACCATGGCTAACAAAGGGTTCGAGTCAGTAACTTACCCAAACTGTGGTTGTACTAATATTTCATGCAGGGCCGAAGTTCTTGTAACGCATTCCAAGGACATCGGACAGATCATCAAGGCCTTGCATGTTACATCATCGAAAATCGGGGGGTCAATCGACATCCCTACCGCCATTAATATCGCTCAGCTTGCCCTCAAACATCGAGAGAACAAAAATCTACGTCAGAGGATAATAGTCTTTGTTGGATCTCCGTTAGAAGGTCAGGGTGCGGACGAGCGGGAAATGGTGAAACTCGCAAAGAGGCTGAAGAAGAACAACGTTGCTGTCGACTTCGTTGCGTTCGGCGACGGTGTTGAGGAGGATACTAATGTTCTCAAAGTTTTCGTAGACAATACAACAAGCAGTGATAACTCGTGAGTGTGTCACTGCATCGAAAAGTGTCCGTATATTGACGCGCATGATATTTAGACATTTGGTATCTGTACCGCCTGGCTCACATCTACTGTCCGACATGATAATTTCTTCTCCGATTCTGTCGGAAGACCGGGGGGTACCACCAGAGGCGATGGGAGACGTTGGTGGTGCATCGGGTTCTGGTGGTGCCAACTTTGAATTCGGCGTTGATCCGAGTTTGGACCCGGAGCTTGCAATGGTGTGTTTCTCAGTCTGCTTTGAATATGCGGTTTATTGATACTACTACTACTTAGGCTCTTCGTATGTCCATGGAAGAAGAACAAGCTCGGCAAGCCGCGGAAGAGCAGACACGTCAAGCGACTGTCGAGCCGCAGCTGGAACCAGCGGTTGACAAGGATGACGAGGCCGTCATACTCGCTCAAGGTCTTGCCATGTCCGAACGCAATGACATAGAAATGGGTGAAGACGAAGACGAAGAAGAGGCAATTGCTCGGGCAATCCAAATGAGTATGAAGCAGGAGGAGAAAGAGCAGTAGTACTACGCCTACATATTTCCACTTGTAGTTTTCATTTATACACTATGTTTTCTCAAACAGCTGTTAGTTTGATGTTGGCGCTAAGTGTATGCTTAGCGCAATCAGCACAGCCACTTTGACTTCATTCCGAGTTCGTTTCGTTTCCTCGAGCTCTCGACGTCGTATATAAATCTTCCATGCCATCCTCACTCACTGCATCCCAGGAGGAGCTCAAGGCCGCGAAGGTGCCTCTCGCTTGGAGAGACCAGTGTTCAGCGTACGTCTCGTTCTACTCTTCCTATCAAAAGCGTCTGACCCACGACATTTTGTGTGTGATCCTTCAGACTCTTGATACCTTTGAATACCTGCCGGAGAGACAACTATTATCTACCTTGGACTTGCGAGAACGAGCGTCACGGGTACGAAAAGTGGGTCATTCTCTAATTGCGCTCTTTCTGTGTCTGACCGATGCACACTCACCAGGTGCCAATATGACGAGTATGTGTTCCAACCACGTGTCTAACCATCTAATACCCATTTTTTTCCTATAGCATGATGCGCAGAATGAAAAAGATGTCAAAACTGAAGCAGCAGCAGGCAGATGAGGTTGCTGAGGCCGCCGAGGCTATCATTTAGCTTTCTTAGGGACATGTCCTATCAACCGCTTTCGAGGTATTAGACTTAGAGAGTGGTGTGATATGCCTGAATTCAAATGCTATGTCTGCTGGAGTCCTCGAGCCTTCTACACTATCCTCCCCGTCTCCTTTTCATACTCCAAGATCTCCTTCTTGACCCGCTCGACGACTTCGTCTGACGTACTACTCTGCCCAAACGCCTCTACAAACTGCCCGTTCGGATCCATGAGGTACACGTATATTGAATGGTCGACGAGGTAGTCACCCTTGGGATCTGCGTCAGGCGGGGTCGAGAAGTAGACACGGTAAGCTTTGCATGTCGATTTCACGGTTGCGTAGTCGCCCGTGAGACCGATGATACGAGGGTGAAAATCAGCAAGATACGTCTTCATTTGAGCAACCGAGTCGCGTGCAGGGTCGACAGAGATGAACACGGGCTGGAAAATTGCCCCGTAGTCCTTCTCTGTGTTTGATAACGGTGAATGCATGAACCGGTTAGAGTGACGCATGAACACGTACCTAGAGGCGTCAAGACTGCGCCGATCTTGTCGAGTTCGGCAGGACATATGTCGGGACAGTTGGTGAACCCGAAGTAGACGAAATTCCATCGACCAAGGAGGTCTTTATCAGAGAAGGGCGTGTTCTCGTGAGTCGTTAGTGTGAACGGACCGCCGACGTGAGCTCGTCCGACGCTTCGGGATTCAAGTTCCTTTTCTATATAGACATTTTTTCGGTGAACGCGTTAAGGTGGAATGCGGAGGACGTACGACGTTGTTCGAGAAGCTTTTGCTTCTCGTAGCGAAAGTAGTAGAATAGACCAACGCCGGTTGCAACGAATAGCGCTGCAGCTTTCGGCGTAAATACCTAAGACTAGACATAAGAATATGAAGAAATGCGGGTAGGTAGTCAGACATACCCCGACGGTGGCCCTATCCCGGGCTCCCGACGTAACATAACGACGCCTGTCGAGTGTTTTTGCTGCGTTAGAACGCACGAGGAGGGACCGAGTGCTGCGACCTGATAAACAAGGCCGCAGTGACTGAAAATGCTTGGACAACATTGTACAGTCGCGTTCCAAAAGCAGTCTATGATACTAATTAGTGACAAATATTGTTTTGCATGATCGCTTACCCCACAACCACTCAGATCTATACTCTAAACCAAATGCCCAATCGAATTCAGTTGCAAAATATTCATACTGTGGGCCAACTATTCGCGAATGCTGCAATCCAGGACGTCGACAAGGCTATCTATCCACCCAAACAATCGCTTCTGAGTCGTGTACATCTCTAGTTAGCCAGTAGTTACAGTGCACTTATGAAGCCCTCTCTTCTAATTCTTGCACAAGTCAAGGTGACATTACTCAAGTCGAGGTGGACGCGATCGTCAACGCTGCGAATTCGACATTACAGGGTGAGTCGTGGCCCATATTCTACGGGTCATTTGCTGAGCGCTGAGTCCTGATATGTGTAAACAAACCATAGGTGGCGGAGGAGGTCTGTCGAACTCCCAAGTGTGTCTGTAATTTGAAACTCATACAGGTTAGTGGATGGGGCAATCCATATGGCTGCTGGACCGGCACTCGCCAATGCGTGTACGATTTGCTCCCCCTAACAGCGCCAGCAAAACTCTCACCTTGTCCAATTCATTTAGGCAGAGAATTGTATCCTGGGCGACGCCCTTGTCCAACTGGCGATGCTAAAATAACCCCAGGCTTTCAGCTCCCTTCGTGAGTGCACCTTTTAGCCCTCGTTGCGCATCCTCATTCCAATAATCTGTGCATCAGGAAACATGTTATCCATGCTGTAGGACCAAGATGGAGCGCTTCTTCAGATGAGCAGACATTGGCTAGTCAGCTCGCATCTTGCTATAGAATCAGTCTTCAGTTAGCTGTAGACAACAACTGCAAGAGTATCGTGAGCCATCCATAATTTATTATGGCAACCAAGGTCATCAAATCATTCTGATTGACGCGCAGGCCTTTCCCCTGATTTCAACTGGCATCTATGGTTACCCCATCGAAGAAGCGACTCACATCGCGCTCAAGGAAACACGCGTTTTCTTGGATGGCAATACCGAGGTGATCGAGCTCCTTTACTGATTCTGGAATGACCATAACTACAAATATTTCAGTTGGACCATGTAGTATTTGTTATTTTTACTGGCAGGGATGGCGATCAGAAGATATACGAGTACGTGGCGATAATGTCTCGGCATGGGTCTTCATCATGAGGATTCTTTCAGGAAACTCATCCCATATTATTTCCCCCTTGGACCAGAAGGTGTTCCAGAGGGCGCCGCAGAAGATGTTCCAGAGGGCGCTAATCCTCTGTCGGGTGCGAAAGGTTCTGTAGATGAATAATTTCTGCGCTTTATTTCTTGTACTCCCGACACTTTGTTCTCAGCACCTAATGAAAATAGTTTCTCGGTGGTCCTCTTGTCACACTGACAGATGTTGGGAAGATGCAGTGTTGACCTATCCCTGCCCCCTGCAACGGGACTTGTTTGCCGGTTGTAAGATGATGAGTCTCGATGGGGGCAGATACAACATCTGTAAATTTCGTTGATTATGTTGTTAGATCCGTGATGAATATGCGATGATGGTATTGTAAGAACGACCTCTATACGTTGCGGTACTCGAAGGCGGGGCTTTCAGGTTCGGAGGACTCTATGATAGTGCGCGTGAAACCAGGACCCTCTCTTTGCAACGCCTCCTCAACAGAAAAGACTTCCACATCTTCTAAGCTTAAAGACTTCTTCAGATACGGCATCAACTCCCTCAAAATATCAGACTCGGAGAATAACAAGGTTCTCCGGAATGCAGCATTGACACCGATTTCGGACATTCGTTTCTGAATTTCAGGATGAGATAAACCAGTAAAGACAGCAGCGGCAACATTAGCCTTACCTTGAAATCCTGGATGAACGGCATGGCACGCTTATCCTTGATCAACGATTTCTCCGTCAGGATCTCGCGCACTTTCGCGTCATTTACCTTATCGTCCGGTCTCGAGTACGAGTCTTTGACAGCCTGCACGCACGTGTCCTTCCACTCGGGGAACTTGGTCGCCACATAAATACGGACGGCCTTGGGTTTCTTGGGGTCAAACAGCGCATCCTCCCCACCCTTGCCTTTCTTGCCCTTCTGCATCCTCTTCAACAATGCAATCTCCGCATCACGGATCGTCTTCAGCGTTCCACGCATGTACATGCCTGTCTCGATAATCGCCCTGTCCGCGGTGCGCCCTGGGTCTGGCCACGATGCCAGCTGCACTGAACGGGGCTCCTTCAACAGCTCCGTCCAGACATGCTCGGCAAAGTGAGGAGCGAAAGGTGTGATCATCAGGGTAGCAACACGGATCCAGTATTTGACCAAATCTGCATGCATCCCGATGTCGGCGGTCACTTCTCGGTACCAGTCTCGGGCACTCTGCAACTCGTAGAAGCCAAATTTCAGAGCATCCTTGAAAGCGGTTCTGATGCAGACAATTGAGATAGATGGAGAGCAAGCTATGGTCGAGCGGAACTCACGCGTCATAATGCCTTTTTGTGACGTTTATCAGGTCGACGATCTCCTCCTCGAACACGCGGTCGTGGTAGGAGTTCTTAGGACCAGTACGCAGGTTGGACTCATCCTTGAACATTTCCTAATGGCGTCCTTAGTACGTCGTCTGGTAGAGAGCGAAACATGCATACCTCACACCAGGTCATCAACGTATGCAAGCGCAGGATATTTGCGTTGGCAGTTTTCTCGTCAAAATTGGCATCTTCCACACCATCTCCAGCATCCGCCAACGACAAACGCATCGCATCAGCGCCGAACTTCCGCACGCCCTCCCTCAGTGTCAGCGAGTTGCCCGTGCTCTTCGACATCTTCTTGCCATTCAACATCAAATGCCCGTTCGTGCGGATGCCCTGGGGCCACTTGTCTTCAGGGAAGATTGCAGCGTGGTTATACAGCAAGAACGTCAGATTATTCTGGACCAAATCTTTGCCCGAGGAACGCATATCGAAGGGGTAGAAGTAGTTGAATTCGTGCTTCAGTGCGTCGGCTTTCTCCTTCGGGAATGGCTCAGGATTTGGCCATGGTCCGTTGCAAAAAATATGTTCCCAGGCCTCGTCCGTCATCTGCTCAACGGTGATGCCCAGAGGGCCAGGTGTCCGACCGAAGATGTCGCCGCCTAAGTGAATGTGGTCAGTGAGATGATAAAGATCGATTGTGACACCTACCATGCAACAAATGTGCGACAGTGTAGTATGCCATGTAGATAGTGGAGTCGCTCAAACTTTCAACCATAAATTGGGGATCCCAAGGCAACTTGGACCCCAGACCGTATGTCCGAGCACACGCCCACTTGTTCAGCCAGGCCAAGGTGGCTTCGAACAAGTTCCTAGTCTCGACCGTCCAGGTCTCCATCTTTGCCAGCAACCTGAAATTAAACTGGGTAAGCAAAAGAAAAGGGATAACACAGAACTACGAGCCTCTCAGCTTGTGCTCTCCACTCAGGTTCTCCGTAGTCCATATACCACTGGTCCATCAGAGCAACGACGCACTCATCCGCGCTGCGCGAGATGACCAAGTTCTCTGGCTCGGCATATGCGAAAGCCAATCCCTGTTCGATCATGCTTGCGCGAACTTTGGGCTTCGCCTCTTGAACAGACAGACCCTTGAACTCGCCCACCAACATGGTTCCACTATAGAAACCCTCCTTGTACGCGATCTCCTTCGCCTCTGCCAGCTGCTTGACATCTTTCTGTGACTGGATCTTCAGCTTCTCGACCAAGCGGGGCGCAGTCAGCTCGCCATAGGTCGGAGTCGTCAACACGGGGATTGGATCAATAGATACCCAATTGCGATCAATCTTGTAAAACTCGGGCTTCTTGCGCAGATCGCTGACGGTCGCAAAGTCATCTGGGGAGTCTGAGGGCACAGATGTGACGATACCGGTACCCTAAGATAATGTCAAAAAGATCTACTGCGAAGGTACGAAGACTGACCTTCGTGGCCAAAACATTGTCCATGGGCAACACGTACACCTCGGAAACCAGTCCGAACGGTGCTTTGATCTTTGTGCCGATGATGGCCGCTCCATCTATCTCCAGTAATTGTTGAGTCTGACCGCGCTCAGGCGACAGACCTTGGAAAGCCATATTACGTGCTGCACGATGTGTGCACACAAATGCTTCTGTGTCGTTGATCGCAAAGACACCATATTTTATGGAGGTCCCAACGAAGCAATTGGTTTGGCCATACCTGAGGATGTACTAAGACATTATGTGAAGATGAAGATAAAAAAACTAACATGGTCTCGGGACGCAACGTAGCAGCCACCAAAAATACTTTCCGCCCACCGACTTGACCTTCGATCGCCTTCGCAGCTGGACTCCATTCCACAACCTCCATCTTGACGCCAGTGTACTCTTGGGGATTGACACCTTCACCATCGGACCGATCATGGTCCATACAAGGTTGTCCATCTTTTGGGCTGTAGATGGTGTATCGCTCGCCGAACTTCACTTTTCCCAGTGCATGCAACTTGTTCATTTGCCATCGAACGAATGAATCATAGTAAGGGTTCAGGTCGGTTGTCACAAATGAACGTCTCCAATCGATACGATTTCCCATTGCGTTGTTATCTTCCTGTAGTATACAAATGAGAAACATAGCAAGTAAATTGACGATTAGTCTGCACACCATGCATATCGGAGGAAAATGTTCCAGCCAGTGATGGGGATCGGCGAACTTCTTGACTTCTGTGCGAGGGACGCCGATTGACAACATAATCTGGAACTGGTATGTCAATCCCGTGGATTTGGCGGCGATTTTGCCCTTGGTTGCTTTTCCGACTGCCGCTGTAGGTGCGGCTGGGCCGTTTGGTGCCGCTTTTGTAAGTTTGTCCTCTTGCGCCTCTTCATCAAATTGTTCGAAATCTTGGCCGAACATCTCCATCTCGCGGATAATTTTGTCAGCAGCCGCCTTTACACAAAACAATCAGATCAAAAATGCTTAGATGGTTAGGATTACTCGCCTTGATCGGCATGCCCGTTGCATGCAAACCATGAGGAAACAAGACACGCTTTCCCAACAGTCTCTGGTATCCGGCAGCAAATTCGATTTTGGAGATGGTAAACGCGTGACCCAGATGCAAAGAGCCGTTCATGTACGGGTAAGGGAAGTTGCCAAACCACTTGGGGTATTTCTCCTGCACTTCGGCAGGTGACAAGCCCTTCAGCTCGTCGGGTGATGGAGCATTAACTTCGAACAGACATTCTTCCTGCCATTTCTTTTGGTATTTCTTCTCCAGTTCTATCAGCTGATCTCGTTTGCCCTGTCTGTTGTACATCCGTCCTGTTAGTTGGGGTATGCTGTAGAGACTGAATAATCAAGAACACACCTGGGCCAACTCTATGGTGTTCGCCATGTTGTACGACTTTCCTCGCGAATATAAAGATACAATACAGCGCCTGAAGGGGGCGACGGTGCGCGAGAAGTCGTAGAATTGTTGTAAGATGATCAATGATCAGTCCTGCTTAACTTTTTGGGCTTCAAATATCAATTCGAGTCAAGATGCTGTTTCGGACCAAAATAGGAAAGACAATTTATGCTTCGTCAGGTACAAAGTTATACAGTAGCCGCTATTCCTCACCTGGCATCCCGACGATGACAAGGGATGTCTCCTCAATTTGTGGCTCTTCCTGTTGAGGTTCGTATTTTATTTTATTTCAGTTTTCACCGATACTAATCAATATTTAAAATTTATCCAACAGCTCCTGTACGAGATACAACTGTTCTCCGTGTCTCCCTCTCTCCCTCTGGCGTGCAAGACACTTTACGAAATCTTCAGCGCATCTCCATCCTCCTATCGTGCACAATATCTTGTCGCGGCTCTAGAAGCCGCACGCATCAGGGATGATATGATTCCTTCGAAACTATTGCGGTACCCAATTTGCACAGTGGACACCTTAGAAGCGTTATTTCGAATATCAAGCGATATTATATCTTTGAGCTGGGCTCCAGAGCTTCCAAGACGCCTCTTTCGCTCGCTCACCCCAAAGTCACGGGCAAAACCGCCTTTGTGGACAGATCAAGACCATCCGCTCCCCTTCCTATATTATTTATTCACTTGTCCAAAAATCCATCCCCCAGACGTCAACTCACACGAGGGCTATGCTCTCACGAAAGCTGTCCAAGTGGGCTTTGTGCCTCTAGTTCGCTTCCTCCTTGATCATGGCGCCTCCCCTCGCTGCAAAAACAGCATGCCAATCCTTGTTGCCATTCACCGCAAGGATCTCTCGCTTGTGCGACTGCTTGTGGAAAGAGTGGATGGGAAATCTGGTTCAGGGGGACAGAAACAGAAGGGGAAGAGGCGAAAATTGGAAGATCGCGCCCAAGTAACACCTGAAATGCTCAAGGCTGCGGTGAAACTCGATGCGCGAGATATCGCGGAATATTTTATGAAAGAAAAAGGATGTGTGCCCGATTTGCAGACTCTACTAATGATGCGGTGACTTGGGAAATCGGTATATGATTCGCCATGTAGTCTCATCACCTGCGTTCAAACTTCACGCTACATAGACCCACATTTATGTTGAAGGCACATCAAATAATAGGGATACAGTCAGGAGAATCAATACAAGTCATGCGATTGAACTAAATGACTACATCCATTGATACACACTGCCAGTACACTGCTAAAATCACATCTAATGAATTCATGACTGGTGCCCGCAGGAGTACAATGTATAAGATGTGTTGAAATGGCCGATACAGAATATACTAAAGATACAGCCAAGTCAGCACCACCGTCAGCCGGTACATAATAGGCTTGCACTTACAAGGATACAGGGTTGATACAAGGACGGGATTAAATGTCGTCGATATCGACCTCCCCCTCGTCGCCGAACTCGAAAGTACACTCGCCATCTTCCTCGGGGAAGGTGTCTGTCTCGTTGATTTTTGCATTCTCTGGCAGCTCGCCGTAGGCCTTGACTATGGGACATTGTATGAATTTTCGTATACATCCGATGAAAAGAATGGTACGAACGGTTTCTCGCCTCATCAGCCGTATACTTAACAATGACATCTGCCTTGTCATCCTGGAAGTCCCGCAGAGAAAGGAGCACAATGTCTCCCTGATTGATCCACACCTAGAACGGCGACCTCAGACGAGCGCTTAGATATACAGCACATTTACTGACCTTCTTTCGCATCTTGCCACGAATGTGGGCTAGCCTCTTCTCGCCATCGAAGCACATTGCCTCGAGACGACCATTACCAAGCATCTTCGTTACTTGTGCGTATTCTTGCCCATCTTCACGGAAGACTAATTCACGCTTGTCGTCGTCATTCTCGTTCTTTCCACGTCTGCGATTCTTTCCACCCTGGATAACAAAATACGCTGTTTAGCACTGGGCTTGCTCTATAATTACTCAGGAGAGGATGTGACCTTTCCTTTATTCTGAGGGAGATGATCAGCTCGGGTGATTGCAGGAGGATGGTGATGGACATACCTTCGGCATGACTGAAAGCTGCTTTCTGCAGTGGTTCTGTCTCTATCGCTAGATATGGATAGCGAGGACAAGAAGCGAAAGGGCAAGATATGAGATCACAGTACTTGCTGAGCTGGATGCCGGTGACTCTAGTGGAGAGGTGGGCAGTACTTATCGATTATAAATTTTGGACTTAACCTGAAAAGGAAATATCGGGCCGGAACTTGTAAATACCCTCCGCTCTTATCTTAAGGTAAGGCTACGTAGTGGCTGCAAATGAGATCCTTACAGTCAGCTTAGCTGCTTTTATAGCACCTCATAATCTTTGGTCGCATGGCTGAAACGCTCCTGGCAATTTTGCTCGTGACCTCGTCAGCCAAGGGGCCAAACGTTGTCTATCGGTGGCCACCGTCTGTGGAGAGTACTAGTAGACCCAGACTCTCCCGTCCGCGTCCACCTCTTGATGCTCTCGAGTTAGATAACCCTTGGCGTGCAGCACATTACTCAGATAATCCAAATGGCTTGCCCGAAACTCACATGCAGGGTACCGTAGATGAAATAGATGACTACACTTGGAGGAGACCCACTGAGAGTCGCGACAGATCCATGTCTTTCTCGCGTTCCACTCTCCCGGCATCAGGCCGCGACTCTCCTTGCAACGAAGAGCGAAGAGAATTCGACCCCGTCGCGAACGAATACCAATATTTGTTCAACTACACTGCCCAATTCCTGGCTGGAATGCTATGTCCTCAGAGACATCTGTGCCACCAGAAGTTTGGGCTTGTCATTGATAATCTCGTCTTCATTGGGCACCCTGTCTTCGCGGAACCCGATGGCATGTGGCGCTTCAAGCCAGAGAGATACAAACCTGGGTCACGAGGTCGGGGGTCTCGACATCGGGAATCCAGTTTACCAGAAAAAGATAGCTTTGAAGTCTCTCTGGGTGGAGATATACGCTCTACCACGACGGCCAAAAGCTCCTGGTTGCACATGTTTCATATTGTGCTTGTGCTCGACCTACCAGACCCGTCATCATCAGCCTCGGGCAATATTGCGAGGTATTTCGACACGATCTACGAGCAAATTGCGTTCACAGTCACTGCTGTGCTCTTTCAAGAACAAGTCCTGTCGAACTTTGTAGAAATGGAGTGCGATGCCATTGGTTCGCTTGAAACCGAGTATATGGTAAAAGGTTAGTTGCGGGCACATTGCGGAACACATATCGCTGACGTGCATATCTAGGAGAGCGTTTCTCTGACTTTGCATCGCACGCACAACGAGTGTCATCCATTGCGACTGCAATGAAAATTCTCTATGACGCTATCAAGTCATCTAACATGGCCCATATCACTCTCAACGATCTCCCCCTTGAACTGCAGCTCCCGCCTTATCTGGATCACTTACTGCACAGCGAAGAGGAATTTGAACCTGAATTCATAGGTCGTCTTGAGAATCAAACCGATTCTCAGCTGTGGGGCCGCGAGCTCGGCTTTGGATGGCGTCTGCCAGCCCTTGTGCCTTGGAAGAGCTTACTGCTTCTTGATACTGACCAGGAACTGGATCCGTACGTGAACTTGAGAGGGTCACACGTGCACGCCGACGAGAGAAGCTTGGCGGAGGGCCTGATCAAGTTTCTTGAAACCGTTTCTGTCACATTATCGTGGGTCTATTTTTGTGTCATGGCGGCTCAAGATGACAGTATTTTCAGACTTGCAGACATGGCAAGTTTGCTTGACTGGGACCTACATTCCCAGATATACCCCACTGTCCGTTGGCTGGTCCATCATCGACGAGCCAAGATTGTTGACACAGTCCACAATGGATTGAAGACCATCTTTTCGCTTGCTCCTAAGCTTGACAAACCGTTAGTATTTATTACCGCACACTCCTCTGTCCTGTAGTTGATCGATTGAATTGCAGGCTTTCCGTCCTTGCTACTGAATTCAAACGTGATTTCCCACAGCCATCCATTCCACCACTCCCTACGCTCATGGCTACGATCTCCAACTCCAACTCCAAGCAAGCAGATAACCACTTTTTTGCAACGGTCGTGCAGTCCAAGGATCTCATATCTCTATATCACGAAGTCGTGCTTTGGATGTTGAAACGCGACCTCCTTATCACACTGCATCTGCACGTGCGCGTGGTGACGACTGCTGAGCTCAAAGTTAGCGTCCGACAAGCGCACGAACGGAAGTTGGAGCAACGGGCTAGTAACCATCTCAGCGAGCGCCGGAGAAGCAGCCGCAGGGGCGACCATGGCGCGGGTGATGCACACGAGCATCCACGAGGAAGCATGCCTTGGTTGTCACTTTCGCCCAAGGCTACTAGGCGATACTCGAGACGGTCTATGGATTCGGGGCAGAGCAAGCCAAGCGATGCATCAGGGTCGATCCTGCTTGAGGATCCTGAAGACGTCTTCGAGGAAATATCTGACGAAGATTCAGGAGAGGAGAATATTGGTTGGGGATCGTCTGAGGACACCCTTGAGCCTTCGATGATTAGCGATCCTGGAACAGCGAGCCCGTTGGAGCGCAAGTGGTTAGCAGCCATGTCGGAGGGAAAGGATGAATATATTGCACGACGATTTGCACTGTCAGTTTACGATTTACCAGTTCTCTAACATTCCTTTGACACCTTATCAGAATTAACCAGTACTTTGACGGTAAGCGAACGGACGACGAGATCCTCTACACAGCAGAAATATCGCGCAAGCAGCTTCGAGAGGTGCTGCATCATTATGAAGAATACGTGGGTTACACATTACGTTGATTGCCCCACACTGATGTGTTGCATAGCTACAAACTTTCTTGCATCCCGCATGACCATATTGCGCGCGCCCCATGACCTTCGTGCCACCGTATCTGTCAAATTCAGTGATATCATCGAAGGTCGTGCTTACACATAGTCCTTGTGGAGTAGTGGTGCTAGTCATGTGATAGATCATAGAAGGCAGAAGAGAACGAAGCTTGAAGCCATCAGGGTTTCCTAAACCCACAAACTATTATGCAGATGGTGTCGGACGCGGTATACTTATATCTCTTCCTGATCTATGGAGGAGAGAGTTATAGCGGTGTCGGCGGAGGGTTCGAACCAGACCCACCAACGTGTGCACGCGTCTCTTCTTGGAATAATGTGAGAAGATTGATAAAACATCATAACCTCTGCAGCAGTAAGCGCCATTCCCGACTGTACAGTAGCAGCACGGTGCTAAACTCAATTTCCTATTTTCAACGCGTGAGAAGTTTCGACGGAAGTTCCAGTGATCGGCCACCAAGTACTTACTAACTCTGTAGGAAATATAGGTTACTAAATTCTAAGGATTAATTGCCAGTATTAGTGTAATACAGTGACGATGTCGATGTCCTTCGAGATCCCGGGCAAGCGTATCTTGTCCAGTGCGCAGTTGGCTGCGTTTCAATCGTCTGTTACTTACAATACCCTCGTATCGTACATCGAGGCTCTGAATGCTTCTGTGGTGGGTGTGAAGCTTACTGATCCTTGCTCAGAATCTCTAGTGCGTCTACTCCCCGAAATACATCGGATCCATATATCTAATCCGTTCTTGCGCAAGTTCAGGGAATCAAGGCCATCCTCCACTTGTTAGATCGAACAGAACAACTAGCTCGTGAGACTCCCCCAGTCGAGAACAAGGCATCGAGATTTGGCAACCCTGCTTTCAGGTCGTTCTATGACAAAGTACAACAAGTTGGTCTGGCGATTCTTCTGCTTTTGTGTCTCTGCTGACCCCCACTGTCTAACAGCTGGCGCCATCGTTGCATGCCGACGTCCCTAACCTAGATCAAAATGCTATTCCAGAATTATCCACATATTTTACGCAGGCTTGGGGAAATCGAGAACGCATTGACTATGGGAGTGGTATGGAATTAAATTTTATCTGCTGGTTGTAAGTTGATTTTTTATTTTTATCTGCTTGACCCTGATGTATGCTCACAGGGAATGCCTGGAGCACCTGCAAATTGTCGCGGCAAGCGATCATACTGCGCTGATTACTCGCGTATTCTGGAGGTATGTTCGCAAGGTGACCGTTTATTCCCTGCTCATTCCTCAGGTATATCCAAATTATGCGCGTGCTTCAATCGACGTATTGGCTAGAACCCGCTGGATCCCACGGCGTTTGGGGTCTCGACGACTATCATTTTTTGCCTTTCCTCTTTGGTTCTGCGCAACTACGAGGTATGACACAATTGATTACAGAGCGCACTGAGTCCTGACATTTTTCCACGGCAGGGCACAAGTTTGTAAGACCAAAGGCAATACATGATCACGAGATCGTAGATGAACTATCGAAAGATTATATGTACTTCTCTTGCATAAAGTTCATCAACTCCGTTCGTATTTCCAAATTGTTTTATTGAGTTGCGATCTCAAGAATTGGTCATAGATAAAGACAGCGTCACTTAGATGGCACTCGCCGATGCTGGATGATATATCAGCCGTGCGTGTTGTGGCCCTCGGTGAATATTTCCTCCTGATTACTTGTACAGGTCAGAACTTGGGAAAAAGTCAACTTCGGCATGATAAGATGTATCAAGCAGAAGTTTTAGGAAAGCTCCCTGTCATTCAACATTTCCTGTTTGGATCCATTCTTCCATACGAAGGACCTCCCGCTTCTGATGAATCACATCGTGGTGACGGTCATGTACACGAAGGATGGGGTGACTGTTGTGGCATACCCGTACCCAGTGCATTTGCGGCAGCCCAAAAGGAACGAGAGCCGGGAAAGGGGATTGAGGGTCCAGGTATTCGTCCGGTGCCGTTTGATTGAATGTGGGAGAGTGTTTCCCCAAGTCACGACAGAGCGTCTCTCGCACACCGTCAGTACTCATGAATGAGACAGTTACACAGTATCTGACATATACATTCATGTGTCGAAGTTCGTGCTTATGTATAATCCGTGTGGACCCAGCCAAGAAGGCGCTCAGCTTTACTACAGTCGTAGAATCCTTTCGCGCCGCTCTCGACCCAGCCAGGTTTTATAGGCACGTCTGGGAAGTACTCCCCTTTTAGTTCCAGCCACTCCTCATCAGCGGCTAGCTTGAGGTGCGGCAATGAAAAATCTCTCGTGCCCTGTCCACCGACCCTTCTCCACAGTCACTGCACGTAGGAAAGCGTCTGCAGCCGCGTCCATCTGGACGTAGCCCCAAAGGTCACCTCTGGCCCGGAAGTAATCCTTTCTATAAGCACGTGTCCGCGTAGGGACAAACCAATGGATACGAATGCTTGCAACTCGCATGGATGTGTATCTTCGGACGATGGTATCTGCTTGCGTCTCAGCAATTCTGGTAGGATTTGGTCAGGTTCTATTGCTATTTCCTCGATGATACTTGTATTTGATATTAATTACAATTTGGAAAGCCCATAAGGTTCGTCAGGTTCGCATGGGTGATTCTCGTCGATCGGAAAGTAGTGAAAGATGGGCTCAGTGCTGTACACCCCACGCAAGACGTTGACCGAGGACGCCAGTGCGACACGATCTATTGCTAACTGAGGATATTAGTTGATATCGATATTATCTGCAGTATATTATCTGAGTTACCTCAGCAGCTGCACGCAGGACATTCCAAGTGATCACGACATTGCTGCGTATGGCGGTTCACTATTTTCAAGGCTATGACTGAGAGAATATGTCTTACTCGTTGTGTACTTTGACCATGTAGTCCATTGGTTGTGCAAAAGCTGCCAATTGGATGATTGCATCACAACCCTCGAAAATCTGCAAAGCGGCATCAAAGTCCCTCAGGTCCACTTGATGGAAAGAGAAGGCAGGATTGTTGTAGAAGCCAGTATCTTGTGAAGCAACATGGTCTACGCCGACTGCGGTGTGCCCTTCCTTTAGCACCCGAAGTACGACATGTCTCCCTACGCTCCCGTTGCATCCGGTGACAGCAATCTTCATGATCAGGGTGGTCAGAAAGAAAGAGAGGGCAAACTTGGAAGTGTGTTCACTGTTATCAAGTCCCAATATTGTCAGGAGGACAGGACCCGGGCCGGCTGCTCCCTAGAACGCCAATAGAAGCACTTTGCTGACTTCGGAAGCAAAAAATTGAAACCTTGGAGAACATGCTATCATGTAGAGCAGTCGTGAACCTATTCATGTTCGCTGTCCATGTCAACGGTTGTGTACATGTGTCAGTAGGGACAATTTCTGTGGGCGCCTCTCATTATTCTTAAGCTGTACCCAGCACAATAATGCGATCAACGTGACGCTGCTGAGCTACATCGATCATCTCCATCTCGGAGAATCACAACAGATTGAGATAACGTTTCAAAAAGTGGGCAAGCAAGACTGTTGGTCTGTAATCGTCGGGGAAGAACTTGGATCCAACCAAACCAACTCTCACCCATGCATCAACCATGAAGCTAGCCCAAAAGACTACCCAAACCCAAGTCCACAACAAGCCCAAACATCCATTTACACGTACGCCCGTACACCTCTTCCACATGCCTTCAAGAATAAGCCCGATAGCTTGCATGATAAAGAATCCAAAGACAACGACAGGGTGACCGCCTCGTTCCATTGCCTTCAATCCAAAATAGTGCAGAGCGCCTGAGATAAGGAACGCGCCAATCACTCCTCCGGTGCGACCAAGCAGGTATGACAACGGCCGAGCACCGACTGATATGAAACACTCCCTGAATAATTGATGCCACTTGTGACCCCACAGACTGGCCAGTGATGTCGAGAGCCACGGAGCATCAAACAGGGGCGGCCATTGAGACGGTACTTGTCTAAATAGTAAGACGAATTCGATGGTGTGTATTTGATACACCAATTCGATCACGAAATATGCCGTAAAGCCAGAGAGGATTGTAATGACGGCAGACTGGGTATAACGGCTGAGGGGTGAGAGTGATGCGTCGAATATTGTGCCCCCTTCGACTGATCCAGATGTTCCCAGAGAAAGCTCGCGAGCGGCTCCCGAGGTAGCATCAAATGCAAGCGCATAAAATAGTAGCTTTGCGAGAGCGCTGAGCAGGAATTCTAATGTTGACTTTTTTCCATGATTGCTGTTTGGAATGCGTAGGCCCTGCGACCAATCCCACCCAATCCCGCGAAGATTGACTGATAGATCCCATGCGTTCCAGAGAGCGGTGGATAGTGGGGTATCATTGGTCAACTGATCGTTGGTGCTGCTTGACAAAGTATCACTGTTGGATGCTTTGTTCGGTTGCAAAGTGTTCCGTTTATATGGTTTTTTTGCGAAAGCCCAAGCGGTCGATCGCATCGAGAGGGTGAACATGGCGAGCTGAGTTGTAACACTGGGATGAGTTCTCGGCTCTTTACGATGGATAAGGTATTCTGTGCACTCACAGCTAAGCCATGGTTGAGGTAACGGTAGTTGGGAATACCAAAAGAAAAATCGAGCGACGAACCAGCACGACATGCGCACAACAAAGTGACTGGGAGCAGCGCAACTCTGATCATTGCCGTGCGTTTCCGTTGGACCAGCACGCCCATTGCAAAGTACAAGACAAAGGCCGGCAAGAAAAATGTTGAAAATGTCGACGCTGACAACGCGACTCTTTCCTGGGGTACAAGTAACCTACTGAGGCTAACCATGCTGAGAGGTTTTATCAATGACGAGCTGCGATGATATGGCAAACACGGCGTACCCTGTGATGCCTCAACGAGCTCTTTACAGATTCGCTGAAAGAAAAAACAACCACCGAAATAGCAACCGGACATCACTAGCCGCTAGCGCTACGGCATCTTGTCATGAGGAGATCCCTCGAGCGCATATCACCATGAGAATTTTCGCTTTATTCGTTATATGCTCTGTCTATTAGACTACTCGGTTACCCTGGTTGCATCGTTGAACCGTTCAAGGTTGTTCATGCGAAGTTCAGCTCATTTCCGACTCAGAGGTTAGTAAATCAAGCGTTCATGCTGATGACTCAAAGAACAATCACGCTCGACAACAAAATAGTTCTATCCGCTGAAAGCCGCTTTCCGCATCGTGTCTCTCACATACCATCGTTTCCTCGGATCACCCTCATAACGAACACTCCAGCTTCCGGGATAGCCCAGTGCGTAGCCCACGCATTTTCCTCGTTGATTAGAAGCTGGCCTCCAATAAGCAGGTGATGGACGTTCGTAAGACCGCTTCTTAATTGCTTTGGCGCGTGTCTTGTGGTGTGGCCGTGAATCCTGAGAAAGAACGGTGGGTAAACAGATGCAGGTCGCCCGCAATGAATGCGGGGAATCGAGGGCACTAAGTATCGATGGTCTCAGTGCCTGCCTGCGCGCTGTTCGGTGGCGAAGACATTCGGTGACCATCACTGCAGGGTGAGGATCTGGTAGATTGCCTCTCATGTGGACAGCTTTCTGGTTGTCTTGTACAGACGGCTGAATTGGAGGGATTTCTACAACGTTGAAAATCTGTATGTGCTATTACGCACCTTGAAGTTCTTTTGGGACTGTAAATCTAGCCATGCGAAGTCCACGGCTACAGACTGAGCGCGTCTCATCCGTTCATCAGCCTGAATGGCATTATCTTCGCAATCGGGTGGCCGCGTTCTTCGGAAACGAAAACATTCATGAGTGAAAGAAAAAGACCATAGAAAACGAAGCACTTTGGCCTGGGTGGAGGTTTCGGGGCAATCGATATGATCCTCGGAGGTCCTGCACTGGAAAGTAGACGAAACGCTACATGGATGAGCCGTTATCAAGGGTCGATTCTTACTTGGATACATACATGTTAGGGAATCCTGTACGTCCAGTGGCGTCTCGTTCCCATCCCGTCGCTTTTTCTTCCTGGGAGCATCACCAGAAGGCGGTTGACAGACACGGGCCAAACTCTGAGTACAAGGAGCTTCGTGCAGCTTGCGCTTCGAGGTCGTGACCTCGACATCGGATGAACCACCTGCGTCCATAAGATCGTCCGCATCAGACCCTAAGTTGCCTTCGAGATACAAGCTCAAAGTTTTGACCCCAGAGGTGCGGATTGGCGAACTTTGGAATCATGAATCAAGCGTTGTCAAAGTGTTGTTGTGGTTTGTTGAGTCGAAAGTCCCTCTTCCTCGTCATATTTGCTAATAGGTTAGGCGAGGCGAAACTTAAACGTCCCAAAAACCATTGACATGGCCCCAAAAACGTCTATTTCAAATCCTGGTAAACGAGCAGCCTTTTCTACCCGACTACCTTCCAAGGCAAAGTCGATACCGGAACCTGTGAAGGAACCTGACGCGCCAGAAAAAAGTGGAGGCTCGGATGCCGAGCACCTGTACGGTTTCTCAACGGACGAGGACGATTCCTCCGATGAGGATGACATTGCTGGTGAAGAAGTAGATATCGGGAGACTGCCTACTGTCGCAAAGGATGACGCGACAGTAAGGATGAAACTTGAGAAAGCCAAACGACATCCAGTGAGTCTATCGAGCAGTGACAGGCTCTGTCTGACAGTGGATCAGACTCAAGACCGAGGTGTGGTATACATGGGTTGTCTACCACACGGGTTCTACGAAGATCAGCTGAAGGGATATCTCTCTCAATTCGGGGATGTAACAAGGTTGCGCATTTCACGGAACAAAAGGGTACTTGAAATTGTTGCGGTGGTGTATTTCAGCTGACGGCGGAGAAGACTGGCAGGTCAAAACACTACGGTTTTATCGAGTTCGACTCAGCATCTGTCGCGCAAATCGTTGCAGAGACGATGGATAACTACCTGTTGATGGGACATATACTTAAATGCAAGGTAATACCCAAGGAGAAGGTGCACCCCGAGTTGTGGGTAGGGGCGAATAAAAAATGGAAGGTCATCCCAAAAGACCAAATTGTGCGAAAGGAACATAACAAGGTCTGTCGAATCAAAGTTCACTGACAACATGACTCAGTACTATTTATTGGTAGCCGCGAACTCAAGAAAGCATACGAAAAGCCGAGAAGCGTCTGATCCAAAGGGAGCACGAGAAGAAGCGAAAGCTGGCCGAAGTTGGCATCACATATGATTTTGAAGCTGTCAGCTATGTAGGTCGTTTTCTCAACACGCAAGTAGCCGTGACTCATTACATGTTGTCACACAGAAAAAGAAGCCCAAAAAAGTAGTGTCATAATTACGCCTCTGATTGATACAGCGAACCGGAAAATGTACCCTGTTGACTTATAGTTCCTTATCTTAGAGCTTCTACTTCTGCTTGAACAGCTTCATCGTATCGTCCTGTGAATTCCCCTCTTGGTTATCGATTAGGTCCCGGTGCAAGCTGAGGTGGTTTGAATAGCTCCGCGAAGGCTGAAGGTGGTGGGTTCTCTCCTCCCGGCTAGCAGCTGTATTTCTCTCCCACTGGTATTTTGCCTTTATGTCAGCTTTTCGAATATACCAGTATTGAGGGCGCTGAGTGGCATTGTAGATTGCGCAGCGTATTTGCTGGCGAGTTTGATTTGAAACGACTTACTTTGCTTGAAAGCCGTGGCGAGGTGATCAAACCGCCAACTAGTGCTTCACTTAACAATACCACTTCGAGAGATTTCACCTGTCCGTGGATCGGAAGCGTAATACAAAAATCAAATGAGGATCCAAATTTTCATTAATGCACCAATTATTGGCTATTGAAACGAGCAGCTTGTACTGATACAAGTTAACTGAGGAGACATAGATAGTATTCATAAATACTGGATGTGGCCCACGGCTACGTGCTCAAAACGTTTTCACGGTACGCGGTGCACAGTATTATCCGCTTAGGATGCCACGACAGGAGCCCCTTTGATGTAGCCTTCCTGCTCCTCGTTCGAGATGTCCTCAAGCGTTCTTTGCTTTGTTTCGGGGATGAGAAGTGTAGAGAAGATACCGGTCAACATGAACAGAGCGAAAATCTCCATACTAAAAATCAAATTTAACTTCTGGACAAATTACAAATTCGTGCTGCTCACATATGTTTCACGAATTTGTTCGTGCCACCGATGTTCACCAGGCGAGCAAAGCCAACCTGGGAAATCACAGCACCGAGTTTGCCCGAGGCGGCAGAGATACCGTGTGCTGTCGAGCGGTAACGAGTTGGGAAAGCCTCTCCAGGAATAACGAAAGTCGTAGTGTTAGGGCCGAAGTTTTGGAAGAAGTTGGTGAGGCAGTACAGGAAGACGAAGGCGCCCCTGCCCGAGGTAGTGGCGTTCAACTTATCATAAGCGAAACCTGCCCATGAATTGTCAGTCTCATGTATATTATAACTTATAGCGGTAGGATGTACGAACCCATAATGACGAAAAGGACGGTGAGTATCGTGAAGCCCATCAATTGGATGGGCTTGCGGCCCCAGGAGTCTATGAAAAGGAAAGATACCCAATATCCTGGAATCAAACCGGCAACCGAGAGGATAAGGTTGCCGACACAAATGTTGTACAAGTTCTCGTAAACGTAGAGTGACGTAGTTTTGTTGCCGGTGGGGCTACCAAAGTTGATTGCCGTCAAAATGATCGAGCTATTGAGACCAAGGCCATAGAAAGCGATCTGCACGCAAAATTTTAACTTATAACTTCAAAGAGTTAAATTAAAACTTACATCGAGAGCAAACCAGGAATAGGCGGTGCCGATCAAGATTTTCATGTTCTTCCACTGACCGAAGTATGCAGTAAAGTCTGCGCGGGTTGCCTTCGGGGCTTTGACACGCAACACCGGGGCATCTTCGTCAACGACATACTTCCCGGATGTCAACACGTTTTCAATATCTGCAGTAGCCTGTGCAACATTGCGCTCGATATCCATGGTGAAACGAGGAGTCTCGGGAATAGTGAGACGGAAGTAGAGTGCGATAACACCAGGGACGCATCCAAGACCTATCAAGAGCCGCCAGGTATGATCGACAGGGTAAACGCAAGGGAACGGAGCCTCCAGGATAGCATCTTTATATGCTTCAACAACGATGATACCAACGAGGGCAGCGGCTGCATTGGGGATTCATTAACGACATCTTTTTTTGAAGAGGTAATATCGACCAACAAAATTGACCCCATCCTTGTGCAGCAAATACGGCAGTCATCAGACGACCGCGTGAACGTGTAGCGGCGAATTCTGAGGAAATGATGGCACTCAATGGGTAATCACCACCGATACCGATCCCCATCTATGGATATGGCAATGAGGCATACACGTTTTTCATAAGTAGATCATCGTGCTTACAATGAAACGCCAGACGATAATAACGGCAAGAATGTTCACCGCTGGGGCCTGGCCTGCGAGAGCCTGACCGAAAGTCGCGACAATCATGATCATGAGCTCGACGCCATCTATCACAGCATGGGTTAATGCAGATGGTCGGCTCGGACAAAAAATCACACTTACACATCCGCTTACGGCCGAGAATATCTGCGAGCCACCCAAACAGCAATTGACCAACCAAGTTACCAACAGGGGTGGCTACTTTTACACCCAAAGATTGGTTGGTACTGAGCTGGTTATCTGGTACCAATATTAATGCCACGCGACACCCCGGAAAGGGAAGCAGCGGTATACTTACTTGTGTGACCGTAGACATAGCCCAACATTGTGGCGGCGATGTTGATGGCAAAAATGTCGTACCTGCCGACAGGTGAGCGGGTGTGATTGCCAACGATATACGAACTTACGCATCGGTAAAAAAACCTACACCAGCGACTAGGCAAACCTTGACGTGGAACCAACTAGGGGCGAAATGGACTTGAGAGAATTAAAGTGATTTTTTTTTGCGAAACTCACGAGAAGGGTGCGTTGTCGATTTCTGCCAGTGCAACACGGCGGCGCTCGTCAAGTACGGCGACGGCAGTCGGCCCCTTTTCAGGGTACGATTCTTGACTGGAATGTTGTTCAGGGTTTGTAGCCATTGCAAGTTACGGGGGAAAGGTCCCTAGATAATCTTGACTACGGTAGGAATTGGGGGGAAAGCCTGCAACTAGTAAGTGCGCACTTAGCATTTTATAACGTTGGCGCTGGATCGGCCAAGAGCCTGGCATTCTAGGTGCAACTCCTTAACTAAAGCAAGCCCAGGTTCCTTACACGTTCTTTACAGCATCCAATCGAAGGTGCGGCATTGATGACTAATCTTTCCTTTCTCGTTCCCTCTTCTGCACGTTCAATCTCGCGATCATATACTTTGTTGAACGTTTTTTCCTTCTAAGGTACGCCGAGCTTTTGGCACATTGGATCTACCGTATAGTGCTCCTCCAGACCGTGGATTAGTGAACCGGCGAGTTCTTGATTATGTAGATTGCCGTAGTTTTACATGATCATCTATTCCAATATTAATGTGACGAAACGCGAAACTATATGTGATTTTATATCGTAATATATGACAATATCTTCTGATGCACCGCGTCAGTATCACCGCATATTGTTGAATGTTATACAACAGCACACAGCTCAGGTTTTTTCCCATCAGATTGCACAGCTAGGACGCGCCGTGTTCTTTTAGGACAGCTGAAATGGCATATGCGCTGTGCCTCGCGATAAGTTAGACAGCCGCATGTCACGCGTCACGGACGGCATGAATCATTGAGGTTATGTGCTGCGTTCCATTTGTTGGCCGCACATGTCTGCGAACTTCGGGGTCCATTCCAAGCATCTACACACGGTTGAGCACGGGTAATTATTCGTCGAGCCTTGGTCTCGTGATCCGAATTAACACGACGCGCTTACCCTGCAGATGCTTGTTCCCTCCTCAATCTGAGAGACGGCCTAGTTTACGTTCACATTTGAAACTTTCTTCAGCCATGTCATTGGTGGAGAGGTACTTAGGGGACAGTGTCCCTGAACTATCCCAAAAGTGTCGCTCTGAAGTGTCTCTCAAGACGAGTCCAAACATAGATAGGCTGTAGGTTGCAATCAAAAAGGAAATCATACGAACTTATGGTTGTGACGTATTGTGGCAGCTTGGGCCGTGCCTTATCACTGTCAACTCAAGAGTCTTGGAGAATTTTCATTTTTCTGGGACAGTCCAACGAGTGCATCAGTTTCTGTCATAACTTAGTCCAGCCTGAAGTAGTGCTCACTTGAGCATCAAGAACGCTTCAAGCTTCAAGATCAAGTCAGCAGAAAGCTTGATGCCGTAACATGATGACAGGGACGTCCCTACGATATATATAGTAACTGCAAAAGCACCTGGCAGGCACTTACATCATTTGACTCCGCTCGTAACAGTACTTACGAGTCCAAGCACGTTGCAAGACGACGACGTTTCGGCCAGAGATGGCTTCGAAGGCAACTCGACTCAGAGCCCTTGCACTTTATAAGGAACTTCACCGATTGGGCAGAGATTATGAACCTTCGTATGCCACGTCTACCTTGTCCACCAAAATTGATTATCCACATCCCCACTTTAGATATGACTTCCATGGGAAGCTTAGACGCTTGTTTGAAAGTGGGCTGACTTTGCATATCTCGCTGTACGACCTTATCGATGACTTTCATTTCGACAGAGAACAGAAACCTCACTGATGAAGACGAGATAGAGAAGGCGCTCAAGCTCGGAGCATATATCAAGAACGGCGAGTCGAGGTGGTTACAAATTTGTTGCTCAAACTCATTCAATGTGCCAGAAACCCTTGCGCTGTATTCCCTCCGCAAGTATCGACACCTGAAGCGGATGTATCCATCAAACTCCACGTCCGATCCTTGACATATTGTCGGCCCTAAATCACTGTATTTTGCTCTGGTCGAACACTATTACCACCGGCCGCATTTTCCCTCTTCTGACAACGGACGTTGGAAGAAGAGTCCAGAAGAATAGGCGGGCTGTGTGAGGCGCGTGCGGAGAAAGTTGAATATTTGCACTAACACCACTGCGCATTGCTGCGTCAGTGGTTTCATCGTTATCTGGTGTCATATCGTTCAAGTTGACCTACTAAACCATGAATTGACTCAATTGATGGTCATAGAATCGATCATCGCACGCGGTCGAATTGTGCGGAGCCTGGGCAAGAAATTGTTCAGGTACCGCCGAGGAACGTTTGTTCAAAAGTTGCGGAAGGAGACTTAATACGAAGGAACGACTGTCTTCAGGCTAGGAAGGAGAGACCATTTCCCTTGGAGGGTTAGATGAAGGGAAGTCTGTATGTGCATGTTGGTGATCATGCATCCAATCAAACTGCTACCGATATAATCATGCATTCCCAATGCTTCCCAGTGGGATTACCTGCATCATCCCTCATATTTCTGAGTTTAAGTTCTTGTCTGTTGTTCCCGGCTTGCTTGTTGTCAAATTGGACAGCGGTTCCGAGTAGGATTTCAAGACGTTTGGTAGAGAATCACTTGTCTAAAGTCATTGACATGTCCGAGATGCGCTATAGCATCGCTATAGGAGTCGTAGTTTGTGCAAGGCACGTCTGTCCGCACATGATGCACGAGCAGCCAAAACGCTACACACTTAGGTGCAGACACTAGTAAGATCTCGTATGCATGTACATAGTGCATGACGGACGTTATAATAATCATGGTGACGTAAGTAGCCTTTGTCAAAAGGCAACCCTGAACAAGTCTATTTCAAGTTGATAACCTGCTATTCATCTCCAACTCACACAGCGGTTTCATTCGGATTCACGATGGTCATTTCAATGAAGGATTGGGTCGTGCCGTTATCCACAGGTGTTACACTCCAAGTCACCGCTTACTATCCGGCACCAGAGCTAAATTCCACAAAACTGGCGATCCTCTTGCATCCCTGGTCGTGGCTTGGGGGTGACATGCATGAACCGTCAGTACCATGCCAGTGGATGAGCCCTTGCAAATGCTGATGGTGAGTGCCAAGGACTCTGAAGGTGCTGACTAGATTACTCGAACACAAGAGCTACCACGTGATACGGTATAATTCGCGAGGTGTTGGCGAGTCCAGTGGATGGCCTTCCCTGACAGGCAAAGCAGAAGGCGAGGATCTCAAGGCTTTAGTGCAGGAGTTCCTGGCAGAGAAACCCGAAATCGATTCTTTGACAATTATCGTAAGCACAACATTCTGCAACATGTCAGTACACGCCATGATGCAAGCATGCAGGGATATTCTCATGGCTCTCTGATAGCCTCTCTTCATCCAGTCTTGAACCCGAACGTTAAAACATCACATATACTGTTATCCTACCCCCTCAGTCCAAGAGGACTGTTGACCATGTTCCACACTGGCACATACACTTCGGCATTACGTGACCTGTTGTGCAACCCTGACGCCAGACTACTTATCATTTACGGAGACAATGACGAGTTCACGAGGAAGTCCAAATATGACGAGTGGGTTGATACACTCAGGCGAACAGATGACTTGAAGGCTACGTTTGACGTTGTTCAGGTGATGAATGCAAATCACTTCTGGCAAAGTCATGACGCTAGAATTGCATTAGAGCAGGCCGTTGACAGCTGGATATATTGATGCATCATGTCAATCTTAGCTGGATATATGTTGTCTTGCTTGTATCATTGATTATTACTACTAGCTGTATCTTGGCTGTGTCTTGAATCTTGTTTGCCTTGCAATATATTTAGTGCTACCAAAATCGGATGTTGCTCATTAACCATCATCTTGTGTCTGCTCACCACTTTTCACAACGTATCTGCCAGTCAGGTCTTTCCCTCGCTCTGTAAATTTCTTTCTTTTCCTTCGTTCTCTCTCTCATTCTAATAACATTCGTCAGGGCGCGCCATGTAAGTCTTTTGTGTTCGCTTCTAACGTGTCCTCCGAATCTGATGGATGATATCGTACAGGCCTCTGCCGGATGAGAGACCTCGTCAGAGTGTTGCAAATCTCATCGGACGCTTTGAGCAGCAGAACAAACGCCAGTCGTCTTCTGCTGCGCCTGCGATCCCACGCAGCTCCAGTGTCTCGTCACAAATAGCCGGTGATCCCGCGAAAGAAGAAACAAAGGAGAAGAGGGAGTGGCCGCCTAAATCCGTGGCGTCCCCGAGCGCAGATAAAAACGCGCTCTCACTGTCCTCTTCCTCTTCCGCTGCCCAGAGCAAGTCGCCACCCATGAGCCCTCAGCTCACGACAGAGAAGCCGGCAGAAACTATCACTGCAGCACCTGCATCCCCAGAGCTTGTCAAGCCGCTCCCCACGAAGAAGCAAGTCACTGCAAAGGCTACCCCCACCATTGAGCCACGGACTATTCCAACTTCACCCGCAAAACCACGTCCCTCTACTGCATCTGTCAAATCTCCAGTGAAGTCTCCACCCAAACCGTCGCTCTCTTCCTCTATCTCTCAGCCCATCAAGCCACAACATACTGGACAATCAGTTGCTTCCAATACTTCCACTGTTCGTAGCCCTCCCAAGTCGGTTCCCAAATCCACGCCTGCCACTCCTTCTCGACCGAAAACGCCCGCCATTCATGCGTCTCATGCATCTCGTCCAAAGACGCCTTCCTCGGGGTTGTTTGCGCCCACAGCAGCCTCCCTTGCACGCTCTCGTAATGCCCTTCCACCCGCTCCTCCGCCAGTGAAGAAGATGACACTAAGCAGCAGTGCAGCAGAACGATTGAGCAAACCTACTGCTGCATCCATGTCGAAGGCACGCGCTCCTCCGCCTATGGCCAGCCCTATGCGTACCGTCAAATCTACATCTGCAGGTTCCACTCCCCGCGGTCCGTCGAAACTCAGGGTAGGATTAGCACCTGCAAGGACGAAGGAAGCAAAGGCACGGGAGGCTGCAACAAAGGTTGCTACCAACGATGTTGACCATGAACCTGATCATCTGGAGAACGGATATGCCGAGAATGGGCATGAACCAGAGGAAGCAGTGGTTTCAGAAGGAGTCGCCGATTTGCACGACGAAGATCACGATCACGTCGACGAGGTGGCAGGTGTAGAGGATGTTATGGAGAGCGTCGTGGAGAGGTCGTTCAGGGTGTCGTGGAGAGTGTCGTGGAAGTCTCCCCAGATCCCGAGGTAACACATCCTGTTGACGCAATGGCGGTGGTCGACGTTCCCCAAGTTGCTGAGCCCGAGGTGCACGCAGAAGCTCTGGTCGAAGAGCCACTGGCCGATGGGAATGTCAATTCCAATGACCCAGTTGAGTCCCAAGAGGTTGTACCTGTCACAGAGGAGATTGTGCCTAGCGCAGTGTCTGAGCTTCCTGCAGTTGGCAACGATATTGAAGACATGGTGGTCATGCTGGAGAGTGTCTCGTTATCGAACCATCGACCCCAAAACATCACTAGCATCCCGGATGAGCACGGAGAGATTCCTGATGAGGACCAGTCGTAACGACCTAGGTCCGCGTATTGTAAATGAATCCATTGTCTGTCATATACACATGGTTGGTGGTAAGTGATGACCTCTGTCGCATAGATCACGGCGCTGAAATCCCATCGCACAGAGACTCCGCCTGTCAGTCTTTTCTCATACGTTCCTTTAGTGGTTCTGCATTGCCGATTTCTGACTTTTCTTCCTCGTTATTTTGCTCTGACACTTTGCTTTGCTCCCTTTTCTCGACTTCTGCCCTGAATTTTCTTGCCGCCGCTGCAGCTGACGCGTGTTACTTACTGTGCATCATCACACCCATTTCGTTACGTCCCTCCCGAACGCATCCATTTCTACATTACATCTGGCTCCGGGATACAGTATACCCTGACTCCCGCACATACAATCCGAGGAACAAATCGAAATTGCAATAGCACATTTCAATGAAAGCAAAAATATATGAATGGTCACACTGGATGATTTTCCATAGGCTCGAAAAATGTTGATTAGAACCACTGCGGAAACAAGATTTAGAACCGACCGGAATAGTATATGTTTAGAGGCTATAAACAGAATGTAAACGGACAAGGCAAAACAAGGATATTTCTACTCATCCAGATCGAAAAAGGGGCTCGTTTGAGAAGCAAAACCGCCTCTGAATTGTAAGGATTTTCAGGGATAGGGTTGTTACCTTAGCGTCTAAACCGATGCGGTATCAAATCAGGTTATGAGGATCCGCACATCCACTTTGTGTCTGCATTTAAGAGAAAACAGATCTGCTTCTATTCTGAATAGGCATGTAATATATCAGAGAACCGTCCTGCTAGCTGTGGCGTTGGCTATTTAGCGTGCGAAGCCCGAAGGCAACGACACAGAGAGAAGAATGCTTTCGGTCGAATGACAGGGTAAAAGTCTGGGATTCGGGGGTCCAGAAAACACTAAGGTAACTCTAGTACTCCGACTCGTATATAAGTAAGTGCGGCTAGGGCTATATGAGACTCAGGATAAACAGGGAGTAATCTAATGAGATAAGGAGTAGCTAAGTTACTCAGATTGAATAAATAAGAGATATATATCAATGTCACAACAACAGACAGATATTGAATATAAGCACATATTCGAGGGGTAAAGTTATAGGTCAAAAGAAAGACAAACAAATCAAAGGGACGTGGTACATGCTGGTTAAATGCAGTTGTTACATCTCCCCCTCCAGAGAGGACCCAGCTCTCTCTCTCTCTCTCTTCTTGTTCAACCTTCTTAAGTGAATTGGTTGTTCATCGCTTCATCAATGGGGAAGTCGTTCTGTGAGTCAATTGGCATCTCAAGTGGAGTGGTTAGGTCGGGCGCTTGAGTAGTAGGAGCAGCGGGGGTGGTGATGGTGGTTCTCGAAGCAGATGCGCTAGGAGCTGTGAGTGCAGGAATAGTCGTCTTCCCTAACCCCTTTCTAAAGAGCTTGCGCTCGTTCTTCTTCTCGTAGTTCTGCATCTCTTTCCTCTGCTGCTGCTGTTTGGTGATTCACTTGCATTGGACCACCACGGAGCTGGCGGTATGCCAAAGCATCTTGTTGACCTGATCCATTCGATCAGCGGTCAAGGAAACAGTTTGTTCTTTGTCATCGACAAGATCAGACATCTGAATGGCGGACCCTTCAGACACAACCTGCCCCATGGTCTCGTCCAGATAGGAGGTTTTGGATTCTAGACTGGGCTCGCTGTTGAATGCATCAATGAAATGATCGTATCCAATGGGATAGTGGGGATGTTGCGCAATGGTTCAGTTGTGCAGAGTGTCACTATAGCCAATGTAGGCTCTGATCTGCTCGCGAGACATGAAGCAGGGGGCAAAGGTAGTGTCCTGGGCTGTGAATGGTGAAGTCCTGGCCATGAGCCTTGAAATAAACAAGGGCGATGTTCTCATCTAGAGGCATGCCAATTGAAAAGAGTGATATTGGTGAGTGGGGTGTGGGTGATGCAGATCTTGAAGGAAAAGTAGAACTGGGAGACAACTTTATAGTTGTTGTTTCTCCAAGTGTGATGCACCCAATAAACAATCGGTGGTCATCGTGAGGAGACATTCTTAGCCCATCTGTCAAGTTGCTGACGTCAGATATACCCAGCAAATCAAGGTACTCAGCTAGTGCATCAAGATGCAACACTTGTTCAAATGGCAACCAGGTAATGTCGCCAGTGCGCCACTGTATTTGGAAAGTGGCATTCTCCCCAGCACCCAAATGAGATTATATCTTGTCTACTGCCCATTCAGGCTCTCATTCTTTGCCAAAGTTGAGGACTTGGGCGTCCGCTTGACCTGGGAACAGGCGGTTATCATTGGGTACATGTATCCGTAGTAATGAAGAGTGGAAGACTGGGTGTATTCCTCATTGCCGCAGATGGCTGGGCAAATCCATTTTGAAGGAGTTATTGCCGTAATCGCAAGTCAACTTGTAGGGTCTGATGTATTTTGGGATAAACTTACGCACAAGTCCCTTGGGTAAGGACATGTTCTTTTTCGACACGTATGCCAAGGTCTCCTTCTTTAAAAAGAGCTAGTTGACGCCTTCTATTAGCATTACAGGTTTGCTTGACTCATGCCTCCAGCATAGAATCATACGCTGTGATTAGCATCTGCTTCATCTTCTGGGTGTATACCCTCACACTTGGATACTCATCTTTGGTGGGGTTATTCCAGACCATTGCATGAGGTGTTCGGCCTGTGTTAACTTCAAATGGTGAGATCAAGGTCGACTCAGAGCTGGTGAGGTTGATGGCAAATTCTATTGCAGGGAGCCTTGAAACCCAATTGGTCTGCCGGGGCGATATGCAGGGGTGCAGCATCTGCGTTACTGTCCAATTTGCTCGTTCTGTGGCCCCGTCTGATTCTGGATGGTAAGTGCTAGACATCTGCTGGTTCACCCCTAGCAGGCTATTGAAGTTAGTCCAGAAAGCGCTTGTGAATAGCATGTCTCGATTGCTGATTATTGATCTAGGCAATCCATGGTGTTTGTATACCTCTGTGAACACCAGCTCCGCGACTTTGCGAGCCTTGTAATTGACTCGGCTCAGTACCAAATGGACCATTGAAGTAAGTCGGTCTGTTATCACAGTGATAGCATCATATTTACCATTTCTGTCCTTAGATAGAGGCAAAGGCCCAATAAAGTCTATTCCAATGGACTCCCAAGGTCTCGAGGGTACTTCCGATGGATTTAGCAGCCCATATGGCTTCTGATTCAATGGCTTGCTCTGTTTACAGGTTATGCATGAGGTGCAAAACATTCTAACATTGTGCGCTATGCTCTTCCACCATATGTGGTCCCGTAGGTATGTGAGC